ACAGTCTGTGAACTGGTAGGAGACTCTGATCCAGGATCCGTAGATATCTGCGAGGCCTTTCTCTTGAGAATCTCGTCCAGCTGACGTACTAGATGCAGAAAGCGTGGGACTTGATCTGGACCCGGAAGGTCAGCGAAAGCTGTGAGGTCCATGATGGCTAGGGGCTCGAGCCGAGCTTTGCTGAGGGACACGATTCAAGAGCAGGCACGCCTATGGGTCCAAGGCCACCCGTACGATGGCTTTGCAATACTTGTGCAGAGGTACATAGATGTCGACTTTGACCGACAGGGAGCCCATGTCAAAATCGCGATACTGCACCCAGACTTACTGACGGCCATGTCTATGGCAACTGTCTGTAGTACCTGGTACAAAGCCGTGCTACCCTTGATCCAGTACAAGCCTTTCGTCAACACTTGGCGCACGGCTAGGGCAGCTATGTCTTTCGACATACGCGCTATGGTGCAGTCCTTTGACACACCCCAGAGGTATCTCGCAACCGAGGAGATCACCATCCATATCCAACATCGACACCGCATTGTGACACAGAAGATCCTCAACCCCCTCGCACCCAACGCATTCCCTGACGCAGCAGCCAGGGACGACGAAGTTCACTGGGCTCACTCTGAACACAACTATGGCTTCTTTCCCTGAGAGTGCTTGCAGCCAAATGGCTGTGATCATGAGTTCCGCACTAGGAATATGGCACAGCCTACCTAAAGTGTGGCACAGCCACTCGCTCCGACTTTGTACTATGAGTACTGCTGCTTACTGTCGGGTATGAAATAGGCTGCCCCTGCCGTCGGTGTGCAGCCCAGCCACAACTTTGGTAGCTCAACATCTCTCTTCCATGCGTACTAAGGTCCAGGGAGAAACGACATGGCACCTGCACCTCTTGCTCGCGTGCCCTCGACTGCAGTTGCACTGTGATGTCATTGTGTCAGCGCAGTCACTAGCCTGTCAGCAGATCATGTGCCTCAATTGTCGCATCTGCATACCGCAGCTGTCAGAAGCAACTGCTTGCACTTTAGGCACGCCCTATGATGCCTTCTCAAGAACCCATCAGGCTTGAAGTTCTGCAGTAAGATGTATGCCTCATAGGAACTTCCTATTTCTCCATTGTCTCAGCGAAGAGCACAGCTCACACCTGGCCGCGTGTCACAGACACTCAGGCTCAGTAGCTTTTTTGGCTGTGACCATGGACGCTCCTCCCAGCTTGGGGCCCTTTCTGGTGCTTAGCGACAGCACCTTGCAGCACATGTTAAAGGGACATACGTATGGAGTATTTCCCCTGCTGACGGGACAGGTCTTATCCTGTCCAGGCGCCGCCCTCAATATCTCAGCGAGCAGCGTCCCCTCCATCATGGAGCTCCTTCACTGGCAATTTGGGCTTTTAGGGCCTTCTCGGTTCACAGCCGCGGTCCAGAGCAAGGAGGTGGCCTCCATTTTGGAGAGTCATATCAATGGGCAAGTCAACGTTCGATTCATTCCTCTGTCTCGAAGCCTGCGCCCTGAAAAGCAGGTCAATTATGACTATTTGATAGACGGCAGGGTCCAGTACGGCTTTGCGAACAAAAACCTGCACAATCAGGAAATCATGGACCTGGCGCATCTACCCGGAGTGGGCGGCGTGGAATGGTTGTACAATTCCAAAAACCTCCACTTCAGGCCAGAAGTCGCCGACATTGTCATCCCGGCGCTTGTCACCAGGGCCATCGAGGAAATGCGCAACACACCAGGCTTGCCTATCCTCGTGATAGCTGGATGGAATGCTCGGCAGCAAGACATGCATGTGGAAATGCTGGCAGCTCAGGCATTGTCACAATGTCGCACGGTTCGGGATCTCTCAGAGGTGGCCATGCAATACGGACATGGCTCTTGGGGCATGCGTTTTATGCACCTTCCTGAGTGGGAGGCATCTCCTGTCCCACCTCTCCTTTTCCAGACCTATGTTCACGACGAAAAACCAGAGCCTGCCCAAGTTGCCGCCAAAATGTTCGCAAGCTTCACCCGTAAATTTTGCGATGACGGCGTTCTCCGGGCCACCCTGGTGCAACTTGCCGGCAAGTATGGCTCCAATCTGCTGGATCGCCTCAATCAGACTGCCCATCGGGCAGACGTCTTCCGCTACGTTTACCACTACCAGAACGGAGGTCTCTACGTGGATATTAAATGTGGCTTCGTAGTACCCTGGGATCAGGTACTGCAACTCATGGCGGCAGATTGGAGCACAGCTCACTCTTCCAAGGCAGGTGAAGTGGGTCACAGACCCTCCCCACCTGGCCAACTCCCAAAGGAGTTCATGGTCATGGCCATAGGAGTCAAAGCAGATCACATTTTTCAGGGCATCATCTATGGCAAACCAAGACACCCTCTGATGAGGGAGGCCATACAACACGCATTCAGCCGTCAAGTTTTGACGGCAAAAGCCAACTTGGATTATATGATCTTCTGCAAATTTCTTTGGCAGACCTTGGGCCGGGATCTTGGTCATCCCCCTCAACCTGGCTGGAACGTCTCAGCAAAGTTTGGCCCCGTATACTTGCTGCAGAAATGCTGGGACAGGCGCGTGAAGGGCAAAACCCATGACAACGATGGTCACTTTTTTGTGTCGGCCAACAACACCACGGTTGCCTACACCAGATGCTGGAAGTGGTCAAAGGGATTTCAGGGAGATCCCACCACAAAGGAGCGAACGAACCGCATGCTTCAGAGCCAAGTTCCAGACATTTCTCTGGAAATCCAGGTGGACTCTAGGCCAATAGAGCACAGCTCAACTCAGCCGCCTAGGTCACAGACCACGGCCACTGCCACTGCGGCTCCTCCTCCTCCCACGCAGGAGGAGATTGAAACGTATGTGGCTGACAGCATTCAGTATAACTCCTTTGTGGAGATCATGGCCACAGTCCGCGACACCCACCACTACAACCAGGATCTCACGGAGCAAGACGTGCTGGAACTCATTCGTCGCGGATTAGGGCAAAAGAAAGTTTCAGGATCCATGTGGTTATGCTGTCTACACTGTCGGAAGCACAACCGGCAGGTACAGTTCAGCACAGGCCACGGACTCAAGAATCACTTTGTCACGCAGAAGCACGATCCTGCGTCACGGCCTACAGCACCAGGCGACCAGACAGTCATGACCCCCGGGCCCCCCCCCCCCCAAGCCGTCCCTTCCGCAGGAGATTCCCCTTCCCCCCAGCAGCACCCGTACTAAAGGGTCCGACAAAGCAGTGGGCTTCGAGCCTCCACCTCCCCCCTGCCCCTTTACTTCCACAGCTGCAGAGAAGGCGGCCTACAAGGAGAGTCAGGCGAAGGCACCCAAAGCGGCCCCAGCGGTCCCAGTCAAAGCCCCACCGGCCATGGTGTCAGCAGCTTGCTGCTGCGGTTTCCCCTCCGTCTGCAACCCCGGGTGCCCCCTGCAATCCCTGCTTCTTCGGCCCCCCCCCATCCCCCCAAACCTGCCTCCCCTCCTCCCGCTCAGGCAGCACAAGCCTGTCTTCGCTCCATTACCCCCCCTCCCTGTTCTCGCCCCCCGTCTGCCTACGAGCCCCCGGTGCGAAACGCTGAACGTGTTGGTTATATCCGACAGCCAGCCCCGCCTACAGCTGTCACATACTCGAGGTTGGAATTGGCACAGCTGCTGAGCTCCCAGTCCCACCAGGACTGGATTCGAGCACTGGCTTCCATCAACATCTTGGTGCAAGCAGGTTAAGACTCAAACAGGCCTCACGTGGGACATCGCCATGTCCGTGCGGCGCGTCCTAACCAGTGATGGAAGAGTCACCATTGCCACAGGCTCAGGCGACGCGTACCGAGAGTTGGATGCTCCAACAAAGGTGCATGGCCTTATCCATGCTTGTTTCAACAAGCTGTGGGACGAGAAGGACTTCCAGCGACACTTTCCCACGCGGATTGAGTTCAACATGATCGCAACTACTATGGTGGCGGTCTACAACGAAACTGCCAAATCCGCTGGTCTCTCAGCTCGCATGTTTCGGGTCAAACCCAACAAAGACGCCTACTCCATTATGAAGATGCGGATTCAGCATGACAAGGGGATAGAGGAGGATAAGCGCATGGCTAAACTGGCTGCAGCCGCTGCGCCCCACAAGCGCCCGCAAGTGCACGAGGCCGACACCGAGGGCAAACGCCAGCGTGATGCCCCTTCATCCTCGTCCTCGAGTCAGTGGGCCAGGCCGGCACGTTCCTCTCAAGAGGACGACTGGGACTGGTGGCAACAGTGGTCCTGGCACGGTTACCAGCAGCTTTCACAGCAGTGGCAGTACGGTCACCGCCAATGATCCTAGGGCTATGTCACAGACTCCCCAAATCCCGTATGGCACAGCCTCTGGGAATTCGAAGCTCTTCCGACGCTTCTGTAAATCCTTTCGGAAGCTGCAGTGCAGAAAGACCACCGGTGCAAAAAGTGCAGGTTTTTGCACTATGACTGAGCTGATCTGCACTGTCAGCCTTCATGGCTGGACTCACTCGGCTCTGCAGGTACACGTTCGTGATCCTTACGGCCTTCTGTCAACAGCATGAGTAATCCGTGTGGGACGCCACGAGACGGATACTCCAGGTGTCGGCTTCGTCTGAGGTACGGCCTAATTGCTGAGACAGGTGCACAGATGGACGCGTCTGTTCAAAATAAGGTGTCGGAGGAGGAAGCCTAGTAGACTTTGTAACCTAGTTGTATGTGCAGATTGAGAGGCTTTTGCGATGATTGCTAACAGCAGTTTCACGAGTGCACGAGACCAAAGCGCCCGCAAAGCGCAGAGCACGCTCGCGCAGCGTTCAATTGAAAAATAGTCGCAGTCGCAGGAGTAGCAGGAGTAGCAGCAGCAGCAGCCGCTGCAGCAGCAGCAGGAGCAGGACTAGCAGTAGTAGTCGTAGTAAGTGGTAGCCGCAGTAGCAGTAGCAGTCCTACGACGAAGCGCTAGCAGCCGTAGTAGTACTGCGTCAACAAAGTTTTTAAAGACGTGCAGCCTGGTCACACATGTTCACCCATCGGGTGTGCCAAGACACAATCTCAGGATGTCCTTGACGGCAGGAAACAATCCTATTTCAGTTGCCACTGGCAGCACCATGCCTCGCCTTTGTCACATCTAGGCGCGAATTGCCTGCCGCTGATACCTACAGTTGCTTGCTTTCCGTCGGCCTTGTCGTAACGCAGCGAGCTGGAGGCAAATTGAAGAGCAGCAGGGTTTTGCTTGACGGCTGCCAAAACGATGTCCTTGTCATCTTGCCTGCCAACGAGACTACAAAGCAACGAGCTAGGCAACTTCTTCGAACACCCCACTCAAATTGCATTCGCCGCAAACTTTGTAGAAACCAGGCATCGCGTAGTAAACCTGCAGTGAAAAACACAGTTGTCTGTGCTATGCTGCTCAGTGGCAGTGCTGGCACTGCTGACAGCAGCATGCCGTCTCGCGCCACCGCCACGGAGGCAAGTTCTCGTCTGGCCTACGACGCCAAAGCCATTCAATGCCTATGACTTCTGCTTTTACGGACAAGGGCCCAAAGTGATCCTGCGTTTTGGGTTCCCAAACCTGCCACATTTCACAAACCCATCGCTGCCGGACCTTCTGCTCAGCTGGCAAGAAAGGAAAGATCTCGGGAGTCCTTGACATGGCAAAGCTTGAACCCCTGTAAAGGTTTTGGAGTCAAGGGTCGGCCTTTACAAGCTTTATTTTCCGAGTCTGTTGTGTTTTGCAACAGTTTCAGAGGAAGCAAGGCCTGAAAGCGTAGGAAAGCGAGAATCAAGGCAGTGCCAGAGTTTCAGCAGCGGAGATATCCGGTCGTTGAGCTAGAAGTGTGTCATGCGTGTCCGCCAGGATTGCGCTGGTTCTGCAGCAAACAAAACCAAAAGCTGATCCACAAGATCCTGCTAGTGGCTTAGTTTTGGAGCTGCTCTGCAGGGGCTTCTGACGACTCTGCTGACGAGGCGTCGTCGTCACAGCTCGCCGCACCAAGCCCACTTCATTTCGCCGCGCAGGGGCTGCGAAGCGCAGCGCAGCTCCGCTTTGCTGCACGGCCGCACCCACGACCTGTTGCATTCCGAAAACTCAGCCACAAACGCTAAACCCATAAGAACCCATCAGGAAGAATTCAGGAGGAATTGCGAGGGAGGCGTCCAAGCTCGGATCTTCAGACTGTGTTCCTGGCAAAAGAAACAGCGAAACTTTACCAAGCTCTAGTTTGATGTTCGGGTGCTTACAACCCCTGTCGATCCCAAAAGAAACTGATCGAGTCATACGTTTTATCAGAAGTACTCGGATCTCCAGGTTAACCAAGCTGTGCCTCCCGATCTGTCTGCAGCACGGGGGACGTGTACCTCGCAAAAACCATGGTGTCAGTGAGATTGACAGGTGGACTTCTGACCCGGGGTTAATGTGTTTAAGGGCTTGAAGGTTTCGGAGCAACCGAGCACAACGAAAGGAAAGCTGTGCGGTTATATTTCCTGTCTCACGGTGCCGAAATTAATCACAGGCATCTGGAAAGCCGGAAACGTGGAGCGCACTGGAGCAAGCCTCCCTTCTGTCGCACGGCCTGCTGGCTGGCGGGCTATGGCATCCGAAACTCCTGTTAGTGTTTTTGGGTCTGAGATGTCGAGAGAACTCTATGCTCCGATCTTCAGATCAAAGGCACAAATCGCCCAGTAGCATTGGAGCCTTAATGATTTGAGGGTTTTGGGGTTACCGGGATTGCTGAAACATCTACTCTAAACTCAAACAAGAACTAAAGTTTTCCGAACTCGAAAGTGCCGCATCCAACACCACTGGGACCTTTTTTAAGCTTTATCTCTCGCCTGAGGAACTGAAGCCTAAGTCGTAAGTATTAGGGTGCCCAAGGGCACGAGAGCCTAGTCTCCTCAGGCTGCCTCGAGTGTGATCTCTCGGTCGTAGCGCATGGGAAGCGAAAGCAGTGGGTAAGCATCGCCTGGGTCGAGAGGGTTCTGGGTATCCAGGATGTGGGGTCTAAAGACTTTCGCGAAAGGCGGGGCCAAGGGATAAGGACACCGTATGACATGGCACCTCACAACCCAAACCCAAAATACTCAATCCAAGCTGCTGACGATGGCAGGTGACTACGAACTTCCGGGCTGCAGCACTTAGGGCCAACGGAGTAGGACTTTTTCAAGGGGTCCGGTCATGTCAAAGCTCCAAATCCCCAACCCATGAGACAATTCTTGAGTCGAGATGTGACCCTAAACTCCTAAAGGCCCTAACCCCCAGTGGGTTTGAGGAGGGCATGCCACCAAGCAGCAGTTTTTCTGCACCGCTGCAAGCGCCATAACTCTGTCATCCTGACTGAGGGCTTTCGCTGCCACACTGGTACAAACAGGAGTTTTACTAGGTTTTAAAGTTCGTGCACAAGGCTTTACTGTGTTAGGCCTTGGCCTTGAGGGCTTGAGGCTTAAGGTCATTTTGGGAACATGTCGCAGGTGTTTCGGCGTAATCGCTGAGCAGTCAGGCGTTTTCGTCGCTGTTGGGGCTCTACCGGGCTGCACTGATGCAATGAAAACAGCAATGCACACGTCCCGGAACACCAGCCACGGAGATAGCTTTCGCCCAGCACTGATCCCAAACTCATCAATCTCCCTTGCGCGTATGAACTTGCCGTCGGTGTAATCTGAGCTGGAACCGGACCCCCGATGTTTTAGTGCTGGACCGGAGCAATAGATGCGAGACCGCTGCAACCGCAAGGCAAAGCCCTGCGGAACCAATGTTTCGATTTACCCGGGCCCGGGTCAACTTCCAGATTCCAGACGTCCCCAAAAGCCCGCGGCCTCAAGCACAAGTAACCTTAGACAAAGCCAAGAACCCAAATACTGAACCCTATGTGCGGCCTCCACACTTGGGGGATGAGCGTGGTCTTCAAGATTCTCCTGAGCTCGGGCGTGGGCGAAACCTGCTCCGAAGTCCACAGCACTAAACCCCTGCAGCCTTCAAAAATCCTAAATCGCGGAGCTGTGAGCCCGAAAATCCCACAGCCTTGAACTCGAACTGCAGGGATTATCACAAGCCTGGCGAGTCCTCTAAATGCAACAACATGGAGTTGTCGGTATGAAGTATTCAACCTGCAAGCCCCAACATCCTAAACACTCACGCACGATCCATGATCCGATAGGGCTTCGGGTTGAGGGAGCTCAGCCCGGTGTCCTCTGCCCGGCTGGAAGTCGCTGCCGTCGCCTCCTTTCCCCGCTTGGAGTGTGCAGAGTACAAGGGTAGACAGCTTCTGCACCCACAGACAACACTCTAAGTATTCAAGAAAACAGCAACACCTTTAATGAATATAAACCGGCACAGAATATGTTTCGCATATACACATGCATACCTGCGCATAAATGTATGGCAACCAGGCACTTCCACAAGATGTCTCGGTGTCCGCGGGGTGGCGGCGGCGATCTTATTGGTTCAGACTGGGTTTCGCTTTCTTTTGCTCCTGGCTTTTGGGGGTTTGCGGGAGTAATGGCTCCGCTGGGCCTGCCAGTATTTGGGAGTTTCCGAAAATAGGGGACCCTACATTTGGGAGTTTCACGAAAACAAGGGACCCTAATATAGCACCCTGAAAAGTAAATCTTCATTATGAGGACCCCAAAATGAGGTACCCTCAATTTTCAGAAACTCCCACTTCTCACCATCTGGACAGCAACTATGCTCTGCCAGGTTCATAACTTTCACACGTAGCTGCAAGTCGGAAGCAGTTGCTGAAGCTTCCACCTGCTTGACGTTACAGGTTCTGTTTGTCTACGGTTCCAACTAGAAGACCGCTAAGGAAGAACTAAATTCATAAACTCAAACCACACCCGGAAACAACAGCAACCCTTCATGTCAAAACTGTGCATCATGCCAGCCTCAAACCAGAAGCTGCGCAGAATACCGCCGCCATATCTCAAGCAAGCTCTTGTGGTAGTGATAGAAGCAGTTTTAGTAGTCGCAGTCCTAGTAGTAGTCGTACTAGCAGCGGCAGCAATTGTTGTGGTACCACCAATCGTCACAAGAGGTAGGGAGGACGAGGGGGGAACGAGCAAAAGCACAAAGACAGAGCAGTACCATACACACAGCGACGAAGCCATCACCATGAGCATATTGAATGACTAGTACCAGAATACTCAAAGCCTTGATCATAGCCAGAATAATCTTATCAATATTGAAGCGGCAAGGACTACACGAACAACCCAAGTTTGATCCAACTTGAGGGACCTGCGTGTCTGCAGGAGCTTGGCTTCTGGCTCGGAGGCCTGTCAAACAGCCCCAGGCCGGAAGGATATGTGTGAAGCTTCATGGATCGACACAAATGGGGGGTTGACCTTTTTGGTTGCCCTAAATCATAGGTGCCGTATTATAATAAGGACACAAAGAGGGACCTTAATTTTGACAACCACCCAAATGGGGTTTACGGGCTCGGGGCTTATGAGCGCTTTTTACTGGCGCTTCCATCTCGTCACGACATCCTACGCCCCTATGGGCCAACCACCAAAAGACCTAAACGTGTCAGGCTGGTCTGGTGTCAACCTTCTCATCACAAAGGGGAAACTATGCCGTACCTAGTTCTTCCAAAAACCTGACAAGCATAACTACCAAGAGCATCGGTGCCGCTCTGCTGCTTTAAGAATAGGATGCCGTGGAAGACAATCTTTACATCGTGCAATCGGGTCCAAGCATTCTCAACATCCTAAAGCAAAGCTCCTCCCCCAGCGACGAAGTCTTGTTTCGTTAAACGTTCTTGAAATTTCGGAGTACCTATACTTGTGTTTTCAAGATCAACAGCTACACTTAGGGCTTATATTGGGCTTCAGACCTTCTGCAACTGCCACCCCCCAAGCACAGGCACTGTGCAAGTCAATACTTGCGAGACCAGACATGTCGAGGGAGTATGGAGCTTCCGATGTTGTGCCAGTTGCGATGATGCCAGCCCCAAACTCAGAGATCTAAACTGCGTGGTTGTTCACGGGCCTGCGAAATTTTCTCTGCATAGGTATCTGTGTAAGACGATGCGGGAAATTACAAAGCACATCCTAAACTGTTTTCGTCCGTACACGATCTAACTTGAATATGTCCTATCCAATTATGTACTTGCTTCCTTTGAAGTCGAGCTGGTCGACCCAGTGACTGTGGCAGACAGGGTTCTCAGATCCCCATGCTTTTGAGACTCAGTTCTGACAGTCGTCCGCCAGCGCTTCACATCCAGAGTCTGGTACCTTATTTGATGATTATAGTAATAATAATAGATATAAAAATAGTAGTAATAATAGTAATAATAAGAGTAATACTAATTATACTAACTTATTACTGGAGCCGGTTGCACCGACGTCGAGCCGCTCGCACCTAGAGCTCTCCCCAGGATTGTGGTCTAGGGTGTACGGCTCTGCTTTGAGGTTCATGGTTCATAAGGGTGGTTGTCAAAATTAGGGTCCTTTTTTGGGTCCCTATTTTAGTACCGCACCTGGTATTTAGGGTACCCAAAAAGGTACCCTAGTTAGGACAACTACCCATAAGGATATGTGGTGTAAGGCTTGGAGTTGGTTGTAAAGGAAGGGTGGAGGGTGCAGTCCGCTTCAAGTACTTGTGAGCCTACTTCAATCCACGCATGTTCCGAAAGCCCCATGCCCTCAACCCACACTTGAGAGTCTTAATCAGGAAACTGCCCCAAGCCCAGACCCGCACTCACGTCCTAGAATCTCCAATCCCAGAAGTCCTACGCCCCAAGCTTTCAGCCACAAGCTCGAAAACTACGTTCACTTCGGCCTGAGAGAGACCCGGCAATATCCTCCACGAGGCTCCCGACGCCGAAGCCTGGCATTTTAAGGAGTTCCAGGTTTTCTTTGCTTCCGGGGCGCAGCTTCAGCTGTGGCCTGATACCACGAATTCGGGCCCAGCTTGGCTCCGTCCTTTCCCGAATCCCAATCCCTGGACTCTACAGCCTGGAGCCTGGACGGCCTCTGAGACCCTACCTCGACTCGATGCCCCTAGACTGCGCGTAGTATGGATATCGAAGCCTTATTGCTCACATATATATATATATGTATATATGACAGAGAAATGAAAGTAAACAGCAACCTCAATAAACCCTACGATTCAGCTTAGTGGTAAACCGCGTGCTACCTTCCACAACGAACCCAATAATGGCATTGGCCTCAACAAGCATGTTTAAACCTGAAGTACTGCTAGCAGACATAGCATGAGTGCTTAACAATACCCATACTAACCGTCATAGCATTATTCACTAAGTATATATATATATATATGTATATTCTGGAACTCTTTACATCTTAATTCTGCACGGCATTGAAAAAAGCCCTAGAAAACTCAACCCAACAGAGTAAAGTAAGGGCTCTTGCATTCCTGGAATATCCGAAAAAACTCCTATTGGTTCCTTCATGGGTTTCATAGACCTTTCCGGCTTCAGAAGAGTTGGAAAGACTGTTCTTTTCAATTGGTTTGAGGTCTGATGTGATACATTGTGATATCATGGCATGAAGAAGTGTTGAGGGTTCTATTGTTGCATCATTACATGAAGTACGGCCCTCATAACATAACTCCAAATATGCAGCCGTGAATTATCAAAACTAGCCCTATGTACAATGTTTCAGTCAATGACCTAGTTCATACACGGACTACCACTTGGTATGATTGCCAACCATTCAGAACTCTTTGTAAAACCTCGGCTCTTCGTCAATCATGGGTCTACAGTGTCCTCAGCTCGAACCTCCATATTCGAAATCCAAAGCTCTAAAAGCACCCTAGGCCATCTGATACACGCAAAGCTTCCGGAAAGCACTTGCGAAGGGGTTTGTTGTCCGAGTTAAAAAGTGCTTGAATTGCAGGTGAATCCTCACGGTGCACGCTCCGTAGGCCACGGTGTGTTGTATTGGGAATAAGAACCTCCACCCAAAACCTTGTTAAGTTGCCTAGTGGTCCCGAAAAGGACGATACAAGGTACTACCGGAAAAATAGAACCCCCCAAACCTTGAAAGTGCCTGTGGATTCACCACAGAGCCGCGCAGCCCACGCTTTGAATCATCTGATACTTTCAGCCCTTAACCCTGGAGACCGTAATGGTTGCCTTAATACCTCAAACCCTAAGCCCTCAAGTGCCTTCCAAGGTCAGGCTTCCGTGTAGACTGTTTAAGGCAAAGGAAATCCTAAACTCCAGACCCGCCCCGAACCCTGGCTTTACACTCTTCAAAGGTAGCCGAGGATACTACGCAAACCTCCGCTTGATTCGTAGGCTGTTGGTTGAGAGTTGGTATGGGCATTTGCAAGTAGAGTAGTTCCTTACTTAAGCAGGTAAAGTCTCAGCAGGAAGTAATTGACTCGCAGCCCTACCCCCAGCAAGTCGGGAAAATTGAAGCAGGGTCATTGCGGTTATGGCTTGAGGAGACTCTGAAGCTCGCGGGAACAGGGATTCTTGGGTTCAAGGTGGAAAGTAGGCCAGAGGCTTGGGTTTACTAGTATTTTCTGCTGCCACTTGAAGTTCAGAACTGGTATGCAGTGTCGCCTTCCTCCTTTTTACAGCCAGGCCGAGCCGAGCGTAAAGAGGTTTTGAAAGCACTTCTTCAGGCTTTCAGCGGCGGATTGCTGCTTGTTGCAGCCGACACCTTCCACACACCGCAAAGTCAAAGTTTCGAGCGCCAAGCATGTTCGCCTCACCATACACTCTAGTGCTGCTGCTACTGCTGCTGCTACAATAACTACCACTAGCAATACCACTACGACAAGACAACAAAGAGGACTCCCACAGTGAGTTTGCCACTGCTACTTCAACTGCTGCTGCTTCTGCTGCTGCTATAGTAACTAGTGCCGCTGCTACTACTACAGCTGCGACCGCTAGTCCTAGTACTGGTACTAATGTTAGTACTACCACAGCAACAACTACAACAACTGCAACTACTGCAACTGCTACTAGTGCTTTTGGTTCTACTTTTACTTCTACTTCTACTAATGCTACTGCTGCTACTGTACTGCTACTACTACTGCTACCACCACCACTACCTGTTCCGAATTCTACCCTGTCAACTGCCACTGCTACGAGTCCTACGAGCACTAGAAATGCTACCAATCTTATTACTACTAAACTAAACGACTGCTACAGTGGCTATTACAGCTGCTCCGCTTCTACTTCTACTGCTGCTGCAGGCGGCGACTATCACCGCCCCCTACCGTTACCTGCTAAACCGGTAGTGCTGCTGCAACTGCTGCTACTTCTCATGCCCCGTCTGCATCTAACGACCATCTACGGCAACTGAAGACTTGCGGACTATTGTTCCCTACTCATGTCCGTTTGGCGTGGATCTGACTTCCGGGTTTGACGGTGCTCACCCACCTTGCCAACAGTCTAGGATCAGAAAAGCATCTGCCAACCTGCAGCCTGTCCAGGATTGGAGGGCCCTTGCTGCCTCCTCCAGCTTTGCCGCAAACAAAGAACACGATAAAACGCGTCGTGCTTCGCACGGGCGCGATGGCTTGAAATGCGCTTGGCCTAGTCTTGTTGACAAGACATCCCGGGCCACATCCTGCTGCTGACTTTGCAGGACAGCTTGGAAACCACACCCTGTGTGAACCACTCAATTGCAAAGAACCAGAAGTTGTCATGTAATTTGTCGGGCTTAGAGGCAGGTATCGACATGACTCTATAGCGCAGACATGGTTCACAGCGGGAACTTTAAAGTAGTTCTCAAGACATTAGATTTGCTCAAAATTTTCCGTCTGTCTCGCAGATCATCCGAGTTGCCGACCGATGGTTGGGAAGTCTTCTTGCACCCAACGTCCGTGAAATGAGAAAAAACGGGCCGTAAGCGTCGTTAGTTACAATGCTGAAATGGTATACCGTGAAGAGCACTATTTGGGTCGATAATGTTGATACTGCTAGCCCTCCTGCCCCTGCTCCTGCTGTTGCTGTTGTCGTTTCCTGTCTGGTCGTGGTTGTGATTCTTGTCTTCGATTTTTCTGGTTCTCTTGGTCTTGATTGCCATTCCTCGGGCTTGAAGAGGGTTTGAAAGTACATGTTGGGTAGTACAATGTGGCTCGTATTTTACGGTGGTGTGTACCCAAGGAGTGTAGGAAGGTGTCAGTGGTGGACCAGACAGGTGCACTTCACGGACGCGTAGTCGTTTGCAAACCTGCCTACCTGCAAGCTCGGAGAGGAAAACAAACGGAGGATGGCCAGCAAATGCACAAAGAAATGACGGCCAGTCAAAACAGCTAGCAGCTGCATCAGCACCATGATGCGAGGCTGTAAACTACAGTATGACACCCTTACAACCTGAATCCCGCGGAGCCCATAGAAGAAGAATGGGTGCTTCGTGAGCTCCGCCGGAATCAGAGAGCAGGGTCACCCGAGGACACAGATCAGAGGGGGGCTCTGGGCTCCTGGGTATCTCGAAGTGCCATGGAGGGTCAGACCGGTGGTACCAGAGTTTCATCAACTCCAGTTTAAGAAAAGCTTGGTCAAGGGCATCCATGGGACTGTGAGCCGTAGGCTTTGGAACTATGGGCTCTCTGGATGGGTGGTACGAAGTACGGCATGATAAAGAAAACACATGTAAATAAACGCATAAACGGATGCATATATATATATACATATACATGTTTTGATTGGCTCGCAGGATCCTGATTTTAACAACCCTTACCGAGGCAGCCGTAACTGCTCAGACATCATGTTTATGAGGCAAGAAAAGGAAGTATCTTTCAAGTTGGATCCCGAGCGAGCTGCTTTGATGCCACTAGGATCTTAACCCCCCGACTGGAGGCCCATGCATGCCCTCACTCCGTTTCTAAAAGGACCGCTGATGCACGGACCGCATGTAGGGAACCGCTCCGCGGCACCATCTGCGCCAGAGCCAGCCTGGTGTTTGCGTCTGCGCCCGCGCATCGGCCGATCCGCCTCGCGCAGCTAAACTAAGCAGAGGCAGGTAAAGTTCCAGCTATGACCAAACCAGTGCTCTGCTGAGTGTGGTTCTATGTGGTCTATGATCGCTACAAGCACAGTCTATGCCGCCAGCCTCTTTAAGAGTTAACACCATCTTGCTGAATCCGACAAGGACGTGTTGCAGAAAGTAGGTCATTCAAGTGTAAACCCATACACTAGGATCCTTGTGACGGGGGCTTTTTGAAGGTGCCCTGATTCTTGGAACCATGTCTGCAACCCTTCAAGAGAGCAGGGATCCAATGCGAACGTGGCGTTGGGGTATGCAGTTGCCAGGTTGGCACAAGTATGTAAGGAGTATAAAATGGCATTATGCTGACTATTGAGACTGCTGTGTTTGTCTTGCCTGCACTGGCTACCCGGGGCCCTAGCTATCTTGACTTGAGGGTGAAGGACTGTGCTTACTTCCTTTAGGTTTAGTTCATTTGCAACTTTAAAGTACCCATGAACCGCCAAGCCAGTTCTAGAAGAGAAAAAGGACATGCACACTATGAACACAGAAGCGCCCAAATCTCTCAACGTCGGATCTCTGGTTCATGAAGCAAGCTGTGTATATTATGCATTACGTTGCACATTATATCGTTTCTTGGGCGGAAGAACTGTGCGAAAGGATTTTGTCGCGTTTTTGGGAGTCGCCCACCGCAATGAAACACCGGATATTTTGAACCCTGAGCGCCTTCATTCAACACCAGGCCAGGACCTAAGCCCGAAACTGGTTGAAACTACGAAGCCCACAGTCGCCGACATCAGGGCTCACTGAAACTTGTACTATAGGGGCCTAAATAATTACCAATACTATTGTGGGGGTTCCTTGTTATAGCCCTATTCTAATTATTAAGGCCCCTATATTACAGCCTTTCGAAAATCTGGACTAAATTCTGCCCATTAGAGAGAACTGAGGAGCGGAGAGTTTTACCACTTGCAGAGTATGCAACCCAGTTGAGCACTCTTATAGCACGTGTTAACGCAACCACTGCTAGAACCCTTTCAATGATTCACAACGAGTGCAGAACTCGTTTACGGTCCTTATGGCATTCTGGTTTACCCTATTAAGATCCTTTTCATGTCCATATATTTTACTGTATGTTTATTTTTTTGTGCGTGTACGTATATGAACCAATCAAATATCTTAATATGAGTAGTCATACAGCATGCATATTGTGTTATATTAAGGTATATTGTATGCAAATATTTATTGTACTAGATTATACGGTGTTGCTTACAGTTGTTTTGGTTTAGGCTTTCCTTCAAGGGTTATTGTAAAGGCTTCGGGTTTGGAGGCTACGATTAGGTTTTGGGTTTAGAGTTACCCTTCGGGTCGCGGGTTTAGGGTTACTGTAACGGTGAAATTGAGGGGCTTCAGTATTCCCAATAGTGCGTTGGGGAGGCATATTGGCAACATATCTATAGGGACTGTAAGGGAATTTTATCATTGGTTGTTCAGGCCAGATAATGTTAGTCCCCGATTAATGCAGCTGTGTTTTCAAGGGCCTTATACAATGATCAGAGGATGCTGTTAGCGTTCAGACTGCTGACTGGGTTCGCTATAGGGCTTGATAAAGGCTTTAATATATATATATATATACACACATATAGACAGTATACACACATGAAAACATAGTATACCCGAATATCGTACAGTCGAATATTGTCTAAGAGGGTGGTTGCCAAAATTGTGGTCCGTTTTTGGGGTCCCTATACACCACGCCCACCCAAACAAAGACCCCTATTTTTTTGACAGCCATCCAAACAAGAAAATAAGGTAAAAGACAACCCTAGGCCCAAAACCCTAGGCCTTAAACTAGGCCTTGAACCCTAAACCTGAAACCCTCGGCCCTAAAGGCCCTCAACCCTAAAGCCCAAACCCCTTCCGGGCCTCGGAAGACCCGGACCTTCTGCTCCAGGTCTGCGGAGGACGCGGACACGGCCTCATGGGAGGTTTAGGGTTTAGGGTGGTTCTCTACATTAGGGTCCCCTTTAGGCCCCTTTTTGTATGAGTTTGGGGACCTAAAAGTGGGAGCCTAGTTGAGAGAACCAACCTCATGGCTTTCGAAGTCTCTGGAACTCTCAAGAGCGAAGCAACTTGCTTAGCGAGGTCAAGGTCTTGTCTGGAAGGAGAAGCAGGATTTTAGCGGGGTGCAGGGTCTCGAGTTTGGAGTCTTCTGAGGTTTCAGGGCTTAGGGATTTTCGCTCGGTTGTTGTACCTTCTTGTAAGGCTTTGGCAGTTTCCAAGGCTTCAGGATATACCTTGCCATGCACAAACAGCCATTGCCCGACGGAACGTCGGTGAGCGTAGCGTTTGCATCTAGGGGCCTCAACTGTACTACTGTACTACAATAGAGCTTCAAGTCTGCTGAGGTATTCCTATACTTACAGGGACCCTAGGGTTCATACTTACACGGACCCTAAGGTTTTTGTGACTGATTGCTGAGCCCTCTACATTAGGAAGGTATCAAGCGCTCACGAAGGAATGCAAAACAGGGATCTACGCCAAGCCCTAATGTCCAGCCAGTGACTTGTATTCTACTCCTCCGACAAGGACGGCAAAAACCAAACTTTGGATATTGCCTGAATGTATGTATATGCGTGTATCTACCACCAGGTACACACACACGTATATATATATATATATACGTATGTTCATGCATGTATATATATATATATATCTATATATATATATATATATGTGTACACACATGTATACATGTGTGTGCGTGTCCGAACTTAATTAGCGTTGACACTCGACCAATCGTCAACCACCAAGGCTGCACACAACAAAAGCCAAGTCAATCAGGGGATGTTGCACCTCAGACCCAAGACCGAAATCTGAAACCCTGAACGCTCAACGACAAGGGCCTGAGACCCCACAACGAACCGTAAACCCTAACAGTCCGTGACGGAAGATAAACCCTCGGACCTACAGGAAAGCACAATGATGATGGGCAATCACTACGAAGTAGATTCTGTAAACCTTGATAAGACATGGAAGATACCCTCTCAACACACATAATTGCTGGCAAACCCTAGGACCCTCACATGATGACTTGCACCAATATAGGATGAAAGCCTGAATAGGAGATGAAACGCTAAATCCGAAGAGAAGATAATGGGCACTAAATCCCCCAAGCAAAACACCAGTTGCCACCACAGGTGGTGAAAAGCCTCGACTAAAACAGCCCTCTAAACTGAACCCTGAAATCCTAAGGCCGGGAAGACCCGTGTAGACTTGACTGCGAAAACTCTTATAACTCTCTATATGTTCCATGCAAAGCTTGCAAGCTAAGCCAAGCAGCCTTCAAGAAGCCCTTCATGCGGCTGTTGTGATGGTCATGCAGAATTCGATTTGGTGGACGGCTGTGGTCGGTGCCATCTGCCAATGATTGCGAGAAGAAGGAGTGACGTGAGTCGGCTCCGACATCTTCAGCGTCAAAATCCACCATTTCCCCGAGTGTGAGTGGCATGCAAGTACTTGAGCGAGAATCTAGAGGCGACTGCTTCCCATCTTCGGCGATGAGATCCGGCTCTGGAATGCCAAGCTCCTCGTCCAAGGCATGTTCCTCTGGCTGCACGGCTAACCTGGCTTCGTGTTGAAGCAACTTAGCCCAAGTTACCAAAGCCAGAAGAAGGATAGCAGACTACAAGATGCCTACTATACTATGCATGATATTTTGAGCTAAAAAAGAGCCTAAATCAATACCGATGCTATGTCGGGGTTCCTTATTTTCACTATATATACTGGGACCCCAAACCCGATTCAAATTATCAAGGCCCATGTGTTAGATTCCTCATGCAGGCCCAGCAGCACGCTGTGAAGCATGTCCATGCCAAGCCTTTCAGGCTTGCAAGGCTCCGGCAGCTTTGCCAGGGCCTCAAAGACGGGGATGACTGCTGGCATGGTGCGAAATCGCCAGGTCCCCTCTGAGCCAAAAGGCTGTGCCGTTTAGGGGCTTAGGGATCAAGAGTTTAGGGTCCGGAGCTTAGGGTGTAAGGGCTCAGAGCCTGGGGTTTAAGGGTTTCTTCTACACATGTTAGACCCAACCAAGGGTTTAGGGTTTAGAGTTTAAGGCTTAAGGGTTTGAGGGTGTAGAGCACTGGAAGGGGCGATGGCGGCAGATATTTAGCACAAAGAAGTTCTAGGCCCTTGCGCAGCTCAACTAGCATCGGGCAGCTGTCCACAGAACACCTAAAGAACGCGGCAGGAACGCTCCTTGCAACTTTGCTACCTAATGAAAAAAAGAAATCAACGAATAAATGAACAAGAAATACATATATATATATATATATATTCGGAAGCTCCCGTGTCTGTTGGTAAGAGACGAGGGAAGTGAATCTGACGGACGGCGTACAGTTTGGGTAGGAAGGCTTATAGGGTTTAGGGTTCTGGGTTTCATTATTAAGCTTGCGAAGACTGATACATCGCTAATCGAGAAGCTGACATGCCGGTGGCCGTTCCTTTCTGAACGCAGGCAAGATTTCCTTCCTACTTTTTAGCGGACACTCAGTTCACGTGATTCACGGTGCTCGTCACCAAGTCGAGGGGCATACGCATACACTTATACCTGTGCAAACACACATATGCACACATATACATGCGTGTATATACGGACAGAGGTGCAGTTACTCATATCTGTATATATCTATGTGTGCATCTAAACGAGTCAGTAAATAAATATTCATATCTATATGTAGATGGAGATACATACACATACATATGGGTAGTTGTCAAAATTATGGTCCCTCTTTGGGTACCCTAAATAATAGGTGCCGTACTATACTAGGGACCCAAAAAGGGACCATAGTCTTGACAACCACCCATATGAAGTCTAAGTCAGATCCGTGGCGCCTTCAAGCTGCAGGCAGAAGCTAGACTGGAGAGTCTGGCTTCGAAGGCGCGAGACGCAGCAAATCGGATCTCTCCACCCCTCTGAGACCATGACATCGTCTGAACTGTACTCCGTTTTGGAAGGGAAGTCGGCGCATTTTGCGAACACAGACGCAGAATGCAAAACTACCCCAAAACCAATTTAAAGACAAAAAGACAGAATGTGAAACTCCAAACACGCTGAAGCGTAAATGAATCCAAAATCCAGAATCTTACGGGTTCCTACACCCGAAAAAGCTGGAATCCCCTCACATCCTGAACTGCAAGCCTCCTGCTATAGGTGGCTGAACTATTGGATTGGGGTATATTATACTGTAACAGCAATAAGGAGCACCAAACTAGTATGTGTAATTATTCAGGCTCCCATGTTGCCGCCTCGAGCAAAGGTGAGCTCAAGAGGGCGGTGTCGCTCCAGGGCCAGCAGCAGCAAGGCATGCGGCCTCACTGGTTCCCCATTTGTGGGTTCATTTTTGTTTCTATCGTTCTTGTTATATGTGTATATATATATGTAAATATAAATAGTACCGATATAGATATAGACATACATATACATATATGTATATGCATATGTAAATGTATGCTTTTGTCTATATCTACATACCCTTATATGTATATGTGTATATATATATGTGCATGTAGATGTATATATGTAAATATATGCATATGTATGTATAAGTACATATTTTCAACTACAGATAAATGGCTCTACCTTCGGAATCTGAATATCGGCAAGGCGCAAAAGTCCAACGTCCATTCCCTGGAGCTGCACCAGCTGGTCTCCTGCAGCCAAAACGACGTCGGAACCATAGTACCCTAAATAGTAGGATCCTTCTTATAAGGACCCCAAAATAAGGTACCCCCTATTCTCGGAAACTCCCATCTATGAGGAGTGTGATTTGTGTATCAGATCCAACTCTACAGCAACAACAACAGCAGCAACACCACCACTGGCACAACCTCCATCGCTACCGCTACCACTATGACACCTCCTACTACTACTACTACTACAACTATAACTACCACTACTACTGCTACTACTACCGCTGCAACTACCGCTACCACTACCAAGACGAGGACGAGGACGACGACGACGACGACTACTACTACTACTCCTTCTTCTACTACCACTGCTTCTATTTCTACTGCGACCACGTTCCTGAACCCCTTTAGGGTTTAGCTTGTACCGAGCCACTAGCCTTACTGGAACTACCCCAACGTCGGGGACTTGTGGTAGTTCCCTCTTACGCAACATGCAGGATACTGTTTTATCAGCAGGCAACTCAGTAAACCTAAACCCTAAACCTAACACCCGGAGTGGTTTAGCTTCTTGGGCTTCAGGCTCCTACGGTTGATGATATAAATCCTGCATGACCCATAATAAGGAATATACCATAATTCCCATAGTTTAGGGTCAAGGTAATGCAGGATTTATATCATCAACCGTAGGGTTAGGGATCCAGGCCTCGTGGGGCTTTACTTGGGATTGCCAGTACCAAGCATGCTAGACCTCCACATCCCCAGACCCTTGCAACCCTATCCTCTAGCAGCCCTCAAACCCCCTAACCCCGCTCATAGACAACGCGGCAGAATGGGATATGGTTACATTAATAGAGGGCATTTCAAATTGGAATCGGGCTGTGGGGACTATTCGTTTGGAAATGCTGTTTAAATGGAGCCACCAGAATAAAGTTGTCAACCATTGAAGCCCCATATTTTTCGCAAGATGGAGCCACCCGATCAAAATTGGTAATCAGTCGAGCCCTTGTATTTTTCGCAAGACGAGGAAAGGAGCCTCCCCAGGATTGTCCCTCCACCGGCCTTGCTGGAGACCGACTTGATCAGCCCAAGATCCCTCTTCGCAGCGGTAGACGAAGTGGCCTACGGGGTTCTGGGCGTCGGGGTGTCTGGGCTTCAGAAGTGCTTGCTCTTTCACCTCTCTTCTTCAACAACCGGGCCCCAAAAAGTTCAAACTTTCTAAGCTAGAGCTAAGATATAAGGCCAAAAAGTTTAAAGTTCCACCGTTCACTATTTAAGTCATTGCTTAGGGATCTACACTGGCAGAATACCTCCTTTCTCTCACTCGATTCTTTTTCTCTACAGGAGTTCTTTCAGTTCGATGCCTTGAGCGCTACAGGGTTTCAGGGTCCGTATATAAAAATGCTTCGAACTTCAGTAATCAGAATTATGATAGGGGTATTACCCCCCATAAGGAATATATGTTTTATATTTTTGGGGGGCTCTTAAGCAAATAGTAGGTAATCAGAATTATGATAGGGGTCTCAATATTTAACGCCCGTAAAGAAACGGGATTCACGGATCCAGGGGTTTACGGTAATGTAGGACTCTAAAGCAACTCAACCAGGCTGTCAGCCCACTACAGCTCTTCGAAGCCTTATACACAAACTCATGAGAGTTTAGGATGTTTCGGGCGCCGGGTTTAAGCCTTCTGGAGTTTTGGCTTCCGGTTGAAGTTAGAGTTCTTGATGTAGGGTTTAGGGGGTTAGGTTTGGGAATACTGCGCTTCTCTGTCGGGGCTTCTCCTTTCAAAATCCTCTCAGGTTGGGGTAGCATGGATACGTTTCACTTATGACTCTGAGCTGCCTTGAAAGTATGTTCGAAGTAGGGTTTGCAGTGTCTGCAAAACCACAAGCTACCGAAACTAGAGATGGGTTCCGAGAGTGGCCGAATAGCACAAGACTGCGGCTACCTTAGCCATTGCAGCCGTACGTACGGCTACTGTGTCTGAACCTGCAACCAGGGTCTTGGACCGCGTACTTAGGGTTTCGGACTTGGGGCGTAGTCTGCAGCCGCGGCAGCCCCAAACGCAACAAGCCCAAAACCCGAAAACGTCCTCCCCAAATCCCAAAGCCCTCTTTCCCTAAACCAATCCTGGAAACCTGATGCCCTAAATCCTGGATGCACCCCAATTGCGGTGCAGTAAGCCAAGGATTTCTATGAGTCTCCATGGAGCAGAGAGTGCAGCTCGTAGGATTTGGGGCTTAGTTCTTGCGAGGTTCAGGATTTCGAGCTTATCTCTCCAGGTATTAGGAATGAGTCCAGTCCTGGAGCCACCTTTTGCAACAAACTCTGAATCCTAAACTGGCCCTAGCACCTACTTACAAGTAATTATGGTCCTATCTTGAATTGGCGGATCCTTACATTCAGGGTCAAGAATTCAGGACAAAGACGGCGTGGGTTCATGACTGTTGTGACTATTCTTCGTATCATTGGAAGATTCTCACTGTTATCGTTGTGATTCCCACTATTTGGGACCCGGAACTTCACCAAACTCTTCAAAAAACCTAAGAAGCCCCGTACTTTACTTTGTGCTACCAGGAAGGCTGAACCCAAGGTCCCCCCACAAGGGATCGGCCTTTCGGGCTCAGGCTTTAGGGTTCTACAATGGGCTTACAGGGGAGTCTATAAAGGTTTCTACATAATTTTGGACTACGATACTTCCTACCTGCTAGGTTGCAAGGTTGGGGGTGTCTTCGTGGATGTAGGCAAATACAACAGCCAAAGCCGAAGCTCGAAACCCTAAACCTTTGCCTGGGGGGGCAGTAAGACGGAAACCCAGATGTCCATATGCAGCTTCGACTGTAAGGAAAAGCATTCCTTGGCTGCACAGGTTCTAGAGCATTGCTGGCAACCAGCACGACCTTGACGTCGACGACGACTACTCCTTCTATCGGTATCAACAGAATTTTACCGTGAGTAAGTACAGTGTTTGTATTATTATGCACATACGTGTGCAGATGTATCGTATCTGGATCTTCGGTTCATGCACGGCTATCTTTTGCCGTGTCCTGTTCGATTTGCAGGAACCCGACGACCGTTCTGCTTCGGGGTCTAAGTTTGTGAGAAGATTCAGGCGGTGGCTGTTCAAGTCTCGATCCTCTCGAGGTCCGCCACTTCAACACACCGTTGGAACTGTGGCTTAGCAACGTCCGGGCAAGTAGGTTTTCTTTGGCAACACAAAACGTCCAAGATCTTCTTGTCAGGCCTCTGGTCACGCAGGCTATGCCCTGGCCCTAGGGGCCAGATCTGATGGTTTTGGCATGGCGGCACCTGTTGGCAGAAAACACTTGAGGCAGTCCTTGCAGTGAAAGCCTGCTCAGGTCCCTTTCTACTCCTCCCAACATCGTTGCTTTGATCCCGTTCAAGGACCAGAACCCCTAATATATCCGAACATCTATCACAAATTCATGAACTTGTCTTAGGAACTATCCCGCCCACAGTCAAAACGAACAAGGTCAAAACGAGAATACCATTGAAAGCACTGAAGTCTGCACTGCCCGCCATTGACCTGAAGAGTTGAATCCGACAAAGACGCAATGTTGCTTAGAGGATCATGGGACTTGGTAAGTAGGGTTATGGGTACCCTAATTGGGGTTATAAGTAATTTCAAGTATAGCTACCCTAATTATAACCTTAGTTACTAAGTCCCATGACCCTTTAAATGCAGACTCCTGCACGCACTGCAACTAGACTTGCTTGCCCCTGCCCAAGCAGAGAGCAACACCGACACGTCTACAATCTACGCAACCCCACGACACCCGACACCCCGAATACGTCGCGCAGAGAGACTTCAATCTGCCTTTCTTCATGATCTTCTTTTACGAACGTTTATAAAACTTCTGAATCCTGGTTCACGATCTCGAGTTCATAATTTCTGGAGTCTCTCGTACTTGACTAGGAGTTAGGATAAGGGGGATTATTGGGGGATATAGACCCTCTCAATAAGGTCCCTTTTCAGAGTTCCAGACGTTGGGTGAAGAAGGGTCCCTTACCTTTAAGGGGTCTCCCCAATGCTACCTAACCTAAACACTCCTAAACCTATTAACCCTACACCCTAAACCCTTTCAGGGGTCTCCCTAATACTACCCAGTCTAAATAAACCTCTCCCAAACCGAGAAACCCAACACCCCAAACCCTTTCAGGGGTCTCCCTGGTACTACCTGGCCTAAACCCTCTCAAACCTATCAACCCTGCACCCTAGGCCCTTTAAGGGGTCCCCCTACTTAAGGGATCATGGGACTTAGTAAGTAGGGTTATAAGTACCCTAATTGGGGTTATAAGTAATTATAAGTATAGTTACCCTAATTATAACCTTAGTTACTAAGTCCCATGATCCTTTAAGTAGCACTACCTAAGATTGCCTATGAATCCAAGTGGCGGCTTCCCTCCTCATGGGAGCTGGCGGCCTCTTGTGGCCCAAGGCTTCGGGAGATCGTGGGGTTTCTCTAGGGGCTTAGGGTTTAAGGGTTTTAGGTTTAGGGTTTAGGGGTTTTAGGTTTAGAGGTTTAGGTTTAGGGGTTTAGGGTTTAAGGGCTTTAGGTTTAGGGTTTCGGGGTTTTAGGTTTAGGGTTTAGGGGTTTTAGTTTAGGGTTTGGGGGTTTAGGGAGTTCTGGGGGGAACTGAAGACAGCTCTACATGTGGTTTAGATAGTTTGGAGGTGCCAAGACAGCAATCGGAATTTGCGCTTCAGTCTCTGGGAACAGCTGCTTGAGAGCGAAGTTTACTGCAACAGGGACCTTACAACTAGTTCATTGCTGGGATAGGATCGGATAGGATTAAAAATCTACATTTTTATTACGTATTGGGTTTAAGTACCCCTAAAAACGTAAAATGTTACCCAACTATGACAAAGACAAGGGAGTCCTAACAGGGCAACAAGACCCCCTCCCACCCGCCCCGGTAAGCTCTCGCCTGGTTGAGCAAACCTCACGAAATCCGAAACCGTCTTCGATGATCAGTGGACTGAGCTTTGGGGTGCGGTTTCGGGTTGAGGTTTCTTAGTTCTTGGCATTGGGGTTGTTCTAACTACCTTTCCTTAGAGGCTGGGTGTACCGACCCTTTACGTCAAGTTAGCACGAGCACCTCGCTGGCCGACTCCTCGCGCATCGATGCCATGGTGTCTGCAACGGCCTCTTCTGTCGGTTAAGGGTGCCGAGAAACTCCCAAATCCCTTAATTAAGGAATATACCTTAAATCATATTAGGGTCTCTATTATAATTTAAGGTATATTCCTTCATTAAGGGGCTTTGGAGTCTCTGGGTGTTGGGCTTTCCGCAACTGTCAGAGCCGTAATTTTCGAGTTCAGCGACAGCGGTGGTTTCCGTTCCAAGTGTGAGGTCACCTGGCTGGGATATCAAAAGAACCCGAATATGTCCTTCTTCACCAAGTGCTGGAGTAACCGTTTTTATGCAAACAGGAACTGGTCAAAAACTGTTTAAATGCTTGTCCTGTTTGGAGGCCTCCTTAAACCACAGGCAGATCGAATAGGTTGCCTTCTCTCCCCAATGCTTGCAACGGCTCTCTCACAATGCCGCAGGTTGGGAAGCCTGCTGGGACTTCAGCGGCTTTGCCGTGCCGCAGGCCAAAACGAGCACGGAACTGTGGCAGGAGCACGGCCACGTTGAGGAGGCTCTCAGGCGCTCGTCGCGCTTACTGCTGTCGTCTGGAGTCGCCTCCCTTGAAAGGAGCTTCGAGATCTTTCTGAACAGAGCTGCTCTCGCCAGAGTGTCGTGTATTTTGGGAAGCGACTTCTCTTCCCACCACAATCCGGTGTGTTTCCGGGTACGGAAACTGTGCTGCTGCCAAGGTGCCGTGAACATATTCTACTTTCAAAAAACGCACTCCCACCAGCATGTTTTGGGGTGCGATTCGTGTCACTGCAATAGTGTCGTGCGATCTTGCGGTGCTCATGCTGCTCCCGCTTTTGGACTCGTGCGTGGTCTTGTTGACATGAGCAGCGCTGAGACTGCTCGATGCTCTTTCGCTGTTTGGACTTTCTGGCATGGTCGGCCAAACATACGCATCACAAAAGGTTTAAAGCTCTGCCATCAGAACTGTGAGTCATTTAGTCTTCGCAGAAACCCGTCAGTCGCACCGCGGCCTCAGGTACGTAAAACCGACGATCTATCCCCTAAAATCCCTACCCCGCAAGCGCTACATCATAAACCCTAGCAGCAGTAACAAAACCGAAATTCCACCCAAGTCCTAGTACAGTACCGGTAACATAATACCCTTAAGATAGTACCCTTAATATAGTATCCTCAATATAGTATCCTTATATAGTATCCTTATTGTAATACCCTAATACAGTACCCTAAATCCGAGGACCTCAATCTCCCACTTGAGGAATGGGATCATGGGAGGTGGTGAGTCAGTTCTGTTTTGGGGTTCTGAGCCTGAACGGTTTAGGGCTTAGTTTTTTTCCGTCTGCAGAAGCGTCCGAAACCCCAAAGTTGAGGGTTTAGGGGGTTTAGGGTTTAGGGCTTTTCGGAGCCCTAATTCAAGAAATCCTAATCCCCAACCCTCAAAACCTTGAAGCATAAACCCTCCACCTAAGCCCTGACCCGTAAGCCCTTACGTGGCAATGCCGACTAGGATCCCGAAGCCACTGCTGCAGGCGCTCGTCGGAGACCTGGGAATCCAGGGCAAAGGAACTGCCTCTGGGATTTATGAGTTTCCGAAAATAGTACCCTAAATAATTAGTAGGATCCTTATTATAAGGATCCCAAACTAAGGTACCCCTCATTTTCGGATATCATCCAAAGCCTTCAGAGGTCTGCTGAAGGAGCCCGACTCCCTATCACAGCCTCTTGAAATCTATCACGCCCCTTTCTTAGTGAGTTGCTGGTTCGGTACTAGGATGCCCAGTAACCTAGGAATACAAAGAGCTCCCTTTTTGGTATTGGGTAACTGTATAAAGAACCTAGGACTACAAAAAAGGGAATAAGGGTACTACTGGGCATCCTAGGGTAGCTGCGGTAGGTAACATGCCAACCTTGTCGGGTATCATGGGGAACTGAAGGCTAATTTCTTGGTGTTATATAGGGATTATACAGGGGCTGTACTACCCAAAAAAGGTTCAAGGTAACTTGCTCTACTGCTAGGTATGGCTTTCTACCAGGATAGAAGAAATCCATGAGTTGGGCCAGGCAACAGTTAGGACCACAAACCGTTTAGGTCTAAGTACAGTATACTACGTACGGATTCTGTTACAGCGTTCAGGGATGCCGGATTACGTACCTCAGCATCATTGTGGCATCTTGCATTGAGGCCTGCTGCAGCCTAAACCCTACGAAGCCCTCCGACCCGCTGCTTGAGGGCGTCCTTTCTAGGGACACCGGTTACTGGGCTTTGAAGTAACCACTGGGAACAAAGTATAGACTTTTGTTTCATAGTTGGTTCCTTTTAAGCAACAGGTCGCAAAAAGTTATTAAAGTATGGTACTCCAAAGCCCAGGCTAGGTATTCCAACTGCGAGAGTGCTGAGGAAACGAGGTTCTCGGATCCCAAGACTCAAGAAACTGATTCAATTCGACCCCGCTAAACCCTAAAAATCAAACCCATAATAGATCCTGGAGGTCAAGTTTAGTTTGAGCCTGAAGCCTGTCCAAAACCCTGAAAGACCCCACCACCTCTAGGAAGCCTCAAAGAGGAATCTTTAACGGAAAACCTCAATGAAGCTTTAGATAACTTGGTGTTCTTCTGGTTGGCCCTTAAAAACTGCAGCTTTTTGGGCTTCTGTATGAAGCATAAACAGGAGGCTGAAAGTTTAACTTTTAGGAGGGGCTCAGAAGTCAGCCAAGAAAAGTCCTTCTTCATAGCCGTTCTGCCCCAGAGGACTCATCCTCCAAGCAAAACGACTCCCGGCAGGGTCATTCAACCCAGAGACTCCAATAACCCCTAATTAAGGAATATAAATTAAATTATGTTACGATACGCAATATGATTTAAGGTTTATTCCTTAATTCAGGGATATTGGAGTCTCTTGGTGGATCCCTTTCATGGTTCACTACCCAGTTTTCTGTTTGCTAGTACTGTGGGGTCTGCAATAGGGTTCTGGGTACGTCGGGGAGCTTCCGAAGATAAGGGGTACCTTATCTTGGGGGCACTATAACAAGGATCCTACAATTTAGGCTACTACCTTAGAGGTCCCCTATATTCGGAAACCCCCGACGTGTTGCATTCAGCAGCTCCTCTTTCCGGTGCTGAGCTCCACGCATCGAGCTCCTCCGAAGCAGCGTCCTCCTCAGTCTTTGAAGACTGGTTCCTGTTAAGGGGTTTACTATACCCCTCTTAGAACCATAATAAACATAATATTTTGAATATTCTCTTGGGTTTTATATAAACAAGAACAAAAAATAATTCCTACGGAGACTATAGTGTAATTCAAATTACCATAATAGGGATCTATGGTATCAAAAAGTCTTCCTTACGATGGTAACTTGAATTAAACCCCTTAACAATAACTCAGAAGGCTCCGTGCTCGCTTGTCGAATTCTCAAGGAAGGTCGTTTCGGACGGGAATTCTTCCAAATCCGTCCGGCCTCCTTTGAGACCCTGAAGTTAGACTGAAGAAATCCGCTGGGATGGCTACTTCGGAACTTCTCCAGATTCGGGACGGTTTAGGGATGACTATACATAGCCATAGCAAATCTCAACCTGCACTTCTCTGAGTGATTGATCATTCGAAGCAACCTCAGCAGCGTCGTGCAGAATACATCCAGCAAAGGCTCGCTTGCATCGGTATCTGCTACAGGAAGCAGAGCTTCGCGGCCCTGTGCGGCTATTGGGATGATTCTTCTTCTCAGTATTATTAATATTTATGTTTAGTATTGTTTGTATTATTGTTATGCTGGGACACTTATGCTGGGACACTTGGATCCTACGCGTCGAAGTGGTTGGAGTGCGGGGTGGGATCTCCAGCGTTTGCGACTTAGGGTTCGAGGCTTCAGTAGTCTGCACATCTGCTGCCCGTTGCCGGTTGCAACTTCTGCCGGTGCGATGTGTACACTCTGAGCCATGCCCGTGCCACTTTCCAAAGCCATCGTCATCAACATCAACTTAACCATCATCATCGGCATTCCTCTTTCTTGATGCGAGGCCAAAAGGGGGGTTTAAGATTCTGGGAGTAGGGGTTCCTTCATATGAACCCTACTATGGGAACCCTTGATTCCGACTAAACCCCCCCCATAGGCTAAAATCCCTTTTGGCCTCCTATGATTTCTCCTCGTTGCCGTCCCACCTAAACCCTCAAGGCGGTCACCAAACTTCTGCTTTGCTGAAGTCAAGGCGCATCCATGGCCTCCTGGTGAAGCAGCCAGCTGTTCCTGGGTTCTTGTTACGGGATTTGTTCTAAGTTACCATAAGAAGTTGTTAATTACGGGGTTTATTCTAAGTTGCCATAAGAAGGAAGCCAGATTATTTTATATAGATCTTGTCATGGTAACTGAAATAAAGCTCCCTAAAAAGAACCCAGGCTCTCCACGTCGTGTTGCTCTGGCATCGGAAGTGCTAAGGCCAACGCTGTCCCGGAAGCACTTGGGCCAGGCTCCGGGCTGCCAAGCAAACCTCGCAGAGTTTCTTCTCCAAGACTTTCATCTTCCTTCTTGCCTTCCTTGCCTTCCTTGCCTTCCTCGCCCTCTTCCCTTTCCTCTTCTTCTTGCTTGCCTTCCTTGCCCTCTTGCCTCTCCTCCTTCTCGACGCCAGTTTCAGTGTTCTCTCTCCTCGACGGCTCGGAAGCAGCTGCTGCCGTGCCGTCGAGCAAAGCCAACTCTGGGCACTCGGTTGCAGCTTCCGGCTCCGAGGCCCTCGCAGCCTTTCCCTCTTCCACCGACTCTGGAGCCGGATCTTCGGTCTGTGTGGATTGGGAGACTTGAGCACCAGCGCTCACGGGAGCTTTGCACTCCAGCTCTTCTCGAGATCCCTCCTCCACAGCTCCCTGCAAGACAACCTCCTGCTCCCCTGAGACAACCTCCTCTAAAACAGCCCCTTGCGTCGAGTCGCCCTTGGGGCCAGGACTTGGCATGCTGTGCTCCTCGGGCTCATCCTTCGTCTGCTCCCTCAGCCGCAATTTCTCATGAGCCTCTTCCAGCTGCATCCTCATTCTTTCCTCGGCTCTTAGAGCTTTGAGGGCTCGGTTGTTGCAGTTTCAGGGCTTGCGATAGGCTTTCGGAGTTCCGTTAGAGTCCCGGTGCTTTAATGGGAAGAATTCCAGCAGGACCACGAACACAAGGAACCGACCCAAGAAGTTGCAGAGATCCGACATACCCGGAACCTTAGGCAAAAAGGACCAAGACCCTGAACTCTGAACTCAGGAGCGCTGACGTCCTAGAACCCCAAAATCCTGGCAGCAAAGCCTCCTACCGTAACCTTAAACCCTCGACCCCAAAGCGAATCAAAATCTTGACTTGCCGAGCATCAATCTCCTCCCTCGGTGCTTCGTCGTCTGCGGTACACGCCGCATGCCGTGTGAGCGGCACCTTTCGCGCGGTAAGCCTGCGTGGATCTTGCAAGCGTGGAGGTCATCTGACACTCTCGCAAACCTCTTCTCCGAACGGCCTGAAGACACACAAACCTAGAACACCCAAGTTTGAACGTGTTGCCATGCAAAAAACAATTACATCTACTGCTTCCATCTCTGCTTTGCCAACAGGTCGCTCCCCTTCCCCGGCAAAGCAATGCGGACAGCGACGTGATTACAGGCTTACAGGGCTGGCTTGTATACGAGATTCCTGAGTGGCCCCTTAATGATGAGGGTACCTTTTTTATCGTTTGGTTTCATAGGGGAACCCAAACAGAAAAAGTGCAAAAGGGTGCTAGTCAGGAACCTAGTTCTTGAAGCTCCCTCTTACTCGGTGGGACATCCTGAGATCATCAATGTCTTCTTCGGAGCTCCTTCTGCTCCGTATGACCCCGTTGTTGTCTGGAGAGAAAACTCCGAGGAACGCGGCCTGAATAATCTGGCCGCCCTTTGGAATTATAAAATAGAGATACTCTTGTATTAACATGCTTTAAACCACCCATTTTGCTTAAGCTCTGAACCCATCCGGTAAGACCAGTTGATGAAAATCTTTGTTAAAGCTTGAACCTAGCTCCTAATCCTAACTAAAGGTCTCCTAACCAAAGGTGCTGAAGCCCGTAGCGGGAAGACAAACAACGGAAAAAGCAAAAACTGCTCACTAAGCCCGGCTATTATGCCAATACTGTATACGATAGGTTTTAGGGGGCTCACTTCAAAGCCTCTGACGAAAAATGCCTAAATGCGAAGCCCTGAACCTTAAACCCTAAAAGCCTTAACGGCCCACACAAAAGCCCCTGAGTGTAATGTGCTATAGCATGATATGATAGGACTACTCCATTTTATGATTCCATAGTTGCCCCCAGAGAGAGAGAGAGAGAGAGAGAGAGAGAGGTTTTCTGAAGCCATGTTCCGAGAAAAACCTGTGCAATATGATATTACATGATATGATAGAATCCATCATATGATAGAACTACGACGGCAATGTAGGCGCTTTAATAGTTAGAATGGGGCTTTGGGGGCTGTTTGATATATTTACAGTACAATGTATAAATACACACCCAAGCCCTAGTCTAATTACTAAGGCCCCTATAGTATGTGATTACATACTTGTTTTTGGGCATGCCATACTATACCTAATGAGGAACCCTAGGAATAGTAGTGGAAGCTACTAAGACCCCTACTTAGTTGCTGAGTTCATAAGCCCCCAAAGTGTACACTTTCAGTTTCGTAGTGGGTAATATTATCCCAAAAGGTGTAAAGTGTATCCACTCAGCTACTAAGATATGGGTGGTTGTCAAAATTATGGTCCCTTTTCGGGTACTAGGTGCCGTACTATATTAGGGACCCAAAAAGGGACCATAATTTTGACAACCACCCATATTCTAGGATACCCAGTAACCTAAGAATAAAAAGGCCTCTCTTTTTGGTATTGGGTAACTTTATAAGGAACCTAGGACTACAAAAAGGGAATAAGGGTACTACTGGGCATCCTAGTTTATTGCCCCCAAAGAGCTCTGCTCCGTTGGCTGCTCCGTAGCGCAGGGGGAGTCCCTCCAGGCGACGAAGGGACGCGACGAGGCTCCTTGGTTCCCTAAGGGTCCATGTGCCCGAATAGTATATACGTTGGGCCCAATGTATATATAACTTTAAAGGGTTCTAGAAAGATGCTCATTACAAATATCAATTCCAATCCTACTTCTAATACTAATTTTTCGCTTGTTGTTTTTTTTTGCTAATTTTTGATGTTTATTTTGAAAAACTTGGGTTTTTTTCTGGAAGGTTCTGTAAGATCTCCGAAGGGGTGTTGTTTGAGGGCTTTTTGTTTTCTGAGCGCTTCTGGCGTTCGGGTTCACATGTTCTGGGAGTCAGTGATTGTTGTGTTACACGGGGATCCTTACACAACCCCTATGGAAACCACCCACCCAGAGAGCCTGAATTGCTCCGCGGTGAAAGATAAGGCCCGGCCTCTCTGATGAAAACCCGTGCCAACATCCCTTTCAAGATTCTCCTTCCCAGACCCCCTTTGGAGGATCCAAAAAGTAGATCCCTTACCTATAAAGTACCCTTAGTAGTATAGGGCCCCAATTAAGAGATCTACTTTCTGGATCCTCCCGGGGGTCTGGGTTGCTAGTGTAGTCTGTGGAAGAAAGTTTCTCGTTAGATGGGATGAAGGTGAACTCGGGATCCTAAGTTGCATCTACTCTGTATCCACCTCTTGAGACCCTTGAGTTTCATGGATACTTCGCTATCATATCTATCAAATCATGCAGTATGTCAGTATGGGTAGTAGAAGGGTGGCTGATGCTGAAACAGTTCCTGGCATTCATCATATAGCAGTAAGAAGCCATTTTCCACGCCTGTTATCTTCACTTCGAAGGTATCGGAAGCAGGAGGGTACCACGCTGAGCGGCAGTGTGTGATCCGTCTCCGCCAGCGACACGTCTTTCTGCAACGTCTCAAGCCTCATGCACAGAGTTCTAAAATCCCCAGTTGCCTAGAGAGGTTTCGTGAGGTAACGGACACCGGCACCCAAAGCCTCATCGACACCCTTCACCCTCTATCGTCCTCGAAGGTCCTTCTGGGCGTTAACGAAGATTCAATGTACTTGGGCGTAGGGCTCTTTCCCATTGTTGCAACCCGACACATGGTTCCTCTTCTGAACACAGAACAAAGACCTAAACCACAGCTGTTGTAGCATGCCTTACCACTGACAAGCTTGTTCCTCGGTGACCACGCCTTCTGAAAGGCTCACAACTATTGTTAAGGATCACACCGGCTCCAAACTCCAAACTCTCATGCTAAACTGTCCAACGCGATACTGCTACGATTTGCAAGTTTTTGCGTAGCTCAACCTTTGTTTCTGAGAGCCTGGTGCTACGATGGTAAGCCCCCCGAATCCCACCACCACAACCCCCCGATCCCGAAGACTCCATGAAACCAGTACTGATCATAACACGATTCAGCATCATAATCTTCATGACAATATCCATACGAATACTAATTCTATACCATCCTTAGAACCATAATAAAATACTATTCTTGATGTTCTCTTGGGTTTGTATGAACAAAATAAAAAACAATTCCTAAGCATACTATACTACTCCAAACAAAAGGTCAAGAGCCAAAAACTACACCCTCGGCCCCGGACCGTGCCCGTGCCACAAGAAGCCCAAAACAGTCCGAGGCACTTCTGCAGCCGGGCTCCCCCCCAAGATACCCTAAACAGAGCCCCACTACCTAGACCCCCCCACTACCCTCTATTATACCCCCAAATACCCGCTATTGCAGGACCAAAAAGGCTCCATCAAAGGGCCATTGGGGGGCCCTGGTATGACCCTTGAAACCCAAACCCAAGCCGGCAAGACTCGCGAAGATACCCTAAATAGAGCCCCATTATGGCCCTTAATGGTGGGTATCTACAAACCCAAACTATGCTGAACTTAGAACCCTAGCACAAATTATCCAAAAAATTCAATTATTTCTAAAGGACCCCAAAGCAGAGCCGTCCTGGATAAAGCCGCCAAAGGCGCTCCCGGATACCCTTCTTCTATAGCCCCCATGACGGGCCTTAATAATTAGAAGAGGGTTTTTGAGGGGAAAGATATGGGAGTTTCCGAGAATTCGGTGTACCGTACTTTGGGGTCCTTACAATATGGATCGTACTATATGGGGTCCTTACAATATGGATCGTACTATTTAGGGTGCCATATTAGGGGTCCCCTAATTTCGGAAACTCCCATATTACCCAAAGCAAAGCAGTCCGAGGTGCTTCTGGAGCTTCTCCGCCAAGCCTCGGCCTACGAAAGCTGCCGCCTCGGCGTTCGCCTCCAAGTTGGCCTCAGATTTTACTGGGTTTCAGTTTTGGGGCCCTTAAACTTACTCCCCCAATAAACTAAACCCTAAACCCTAAACCCCTTTAAATTAAGCAACCTGGAAATCAAAAAAGGTTCCCTATACTTACCCCTACTAAACTATAAGAGGCTACAACGTTTGAAGGTTGGGTATTGGGGATCCAAGTAAAACTATCTACGAAGAGGTGCCTCTAGAAGAACCATAGGAATTTTCCTTTGACCTTTCCCAAAGTGCCACCTAGCTTACCTTGAACTACGGGTTCCGAAAATGCTTCATGAAAAGGGGTTCATAAGGGTTCCCGTAACCGGATCCATAAGGGTTCTAGGGTTTAGTTTTCGAACTACAATAATCTGCATTTTTCGTGGGTTCTTGTTACACCGAATATAGAATATAGAATGAGTACAAATATATATATGTATATATATATATGTATATATATATATATGTATATATATATATATATGTATGTATGTATGTATAGTATGAATAAGTAAGGACCACGCACAGAGTTGGTATTGGTAGTCCAAGGTAAACCCTGAACCTTAACCCAAAGAGGTCCAGGAAGACCGCTCGCTTAGGTGTTTGGGGCGTGAAAAAAACAGAACAGGGATTTGGGATACTGCTGATGATATAAATCCTGCATTACCTGAAGGACCCCAAACTCTGGGAATAATGGTATATTCCTCTTTATGGTTAATGCAGGATTTATATCATCAACCGTATATTACTCGTTATAGTGCTTTAAACAGCACAATAGGTAAGTGTTCAAGCCCTTGCACTGGGCCTCTGAGATCAATGTTTTGGGCTGGTAGGGTTTACGGGTTCAAGACTTCAGGATTCTATAAGACCGCCTAGTTGAGAGGGGAATTTCAACATGAACATGCTCTCCAAAGGTCTGTTCGGGTTTTTTCGGAGCTTGATGAGGGCGCATATGGATTGTGGAAGGTCATAGGGTGCATACCCCGTAAGTCGTGGTTTGTTGTTGCGCAATGTTGAACCAGCATTACCTAACGCGCTTCGATTCTATGCTGGCATTCACCTCGAATTCAATTCCCTGAACCCTGAACGTTAAATCCTCGCATCCGAAACCTGAAGCCATTGTGCACAAGAGGCAATACGGAAGTCCCGGGCGGCAACCTTACGCAAGAATGAGGGTTGAGGGCTTCAGTGTTCTTGGGTTTAGGGTTTTATGGGACACTTTTACCCGTTGGACAATCCGGTGTTGACGATATGTGGTAGTGCAGTTTAAAGTTTTCAAGGGCTTTACGAGTTTAGGCTTTGCGGGCGGAAGGTCCATTCTTTCCTTAAAGCCACTTTGTGACATCGATATCCGCAAGTAGCTAGAGTCTCGAAATTTGCTGGAACGTCTGTATGCAAGGCTTACCAAGACCTGCTAGGCTTCCGGCAAAGCGTCCTACAAGTCTTTGTAAGGGGAGTTGCTCAAGAGTCAACTTGTTCAGCACTTTACTCTTGGACTACAGGGCTCATCTCGCCTTGAAGGATCTATGATGGGTTTACAAAAGCTTGGACCCTCTTCTCTGGGTTCAGGGCCTGACACGGGGGCAGGGGGGGGGTTAGCGAAGCTTCCTGACATCCTCTAGCCCCGAGACAAAGCTCGATCGAACACGGGCCCTACAGTAAACAGATTTCCTTCCAAAATTGAGGCATATCTGTTGTTTGATCAACCGTTGATGCGCCTGATACCGTAATCCCCTGCTGCCAGCCCAAGCGAGGTTTAGGGTTCAGGGGAACCCACGTCCCTGTCCGAACCGCGGAATCTAAAGAACATGTTAGGCTAGCCAGCGCATAGAGCAGCAATGCACCCTTTCGAGTGTTCCACTCTTCCAATTGCAGCAGAAACCATAAATCTCAAACCCCCAAACTCCCCAGACCCCCTTTGGAGGATCTAGAAAGTAGATCCCCTTATTTAGGGCCCTATGCTACTAAGGGTACTTTATCGGAACCCCCATTAAGGGATCTACTTTTTGGATCCTCCAAACAAGGTCGGGGTCCTCGTTTTGGGAAACCTTCTCTTGGGTTCATGAGCTTAGGGTGTTGGGGTGTCGAGTTTCGGGGTTCATTCAGGGTTCGATGATCAAGAGCTTGCGCTTCGAGGTCAGTAGAGCTTGGACATACCTAAACTGATGGATTGAAATTCAGCGTCCCTGCAACTTGTGCTTACTTTGCACCTTCAAGCCGTGCACAAAGCGTTGTTGCCACGGATTTGGGGACCATTCAGCCTACTCGGAGGGTCGGGGGACTTAGTAAGTAGGGTTATAAGTAGACTTATAAGTACCCTAAAAGGGATCCTAATTGGGGTTGTGGTACTTATAAGTCTCAAAAATATCTAGTTATTAAGTCCCCCGACCCTCCAAGTAGTATTGATCACCTAATGCACAAACCCCATTTACCAAGTCACAGTGCCATGATCCTTCTCAATATGTCCTACAACTCCAAACAGATCTTAACCGCCAACCCTAAACCCTAAACCCTAGCACCAACCGCTAAACTCCTTACAGAACCCTGGTAGAGCCCCGTGTAGAGCACAGGATCTTTCAAAACTTTTTGTTCTAATTAAGGCCTCCTATTACAGCGTCGTAGGAACCCTTATAGTAACCCCTAAAGGAACCCTTAAGCCTGAAAGTATAAGGCCCTATATGATCCCTTTTCGTAACCTTTAAACGAGCACTTGAAAGTAACCCCAAGGAGTGCTTGGAGGGTCGGGGGACTTAGTAAGTAGCTATTTTATAAACTTATATGTACCATAACCCCAATTAGGATCCTTGTTGGGGTGCTCATAAGTCTACTTATTAGCTACTTACTGAGTCCCCCGACCCTCCAAGCAAGCCCAGAGCTTCCACAATCCCTTAATTAAGGAATATTCCTTAAATCATATTAGGGATCCTACTCTCATTTAAGGTATATTCCTTAATTAAGGGCTTTTGGAGGCTCTGGGAGGAGTGTGGAGTAGGGTTATAAGTACCCTAATTGGGCCATCCTAATTATAACCCTAGTTACTAAGTCCCATGACCCTCTAAGTAACCATAAAACCCCTCTTATAGAGCCCCTATAGATCCCTTTAAAGGACCCCTTTAAGGCACCCTAGTTACTAAGTCCCATGACCCTTTAAGCAAGGAGTGCGGAGTTTGTGTGCAAGGCGCACCTTCTGCCGCAGGGAGCGGACGATGCTCGCGAGGTCGGGTGTACGCGCCTGTGATGGAGACCCAGACCCCCTTTGAAGAAATCCAAAAAGTAGATCCCTAGTAGGGGTTCCTTTAGGTTTCTCCAAGGGTTCCTGTAAGGGTTCCTTTAAGGGTTCCTTTAAGAATTCCTTTAAGAGTTCAGTAGGGATTTAGGGTTTAGGGTTCCTGTAAGGGTCCAGGCTTGATGGAGACCCAGACCCTCTTTGGGGGGGATCCAAAAAGGAAATCCCTAACTTGGGGGTTCCTATAAGGGTTCCTTTAAGGGTCCCTTTAAGGGATCTATAGGGTTTTAGGGTTTAGGGTTTAGGGTAGATCCCTTAATGGGGGTTCCTATAAACTACCCTTAGTAGTATAGGGCCCCACATTAGGGGAAAGTAGATCCTCCAAAGGGGGACCGGGGATGGGAACCCAACAGAAAAGTCAGGTTTCAGGTTCGGCGGCCGTATCGGTTTGGGTACTGCCCCCACTCTGTAGCAGTAGGATAGATCAGATTTATAACATAGCTATGTAAAGCCCTTATTATGGCCCCTAAGATGGTTGGGGTTCAGGGCTTCTGGATGAGGAACGATAGAGCTATAACTGCATGTAGCGACATTGCCGCATCTCTACTCCAAAACTAGCCCCTACCCCCTTACAAAGTAAGCAAACCTATCTTTTCGGATGTTCTGGAAAGCAGAAGCGCGAAAACACAAGGAACACACAACGTGCCGAACAGCAGTAAGGTCATGACTAACCTGCTGGTAGAAAGAGCCAAAAAAATTTTGCAGCGTCTTGTCTACTGTGGAGCAACGATGGAACTCCTACACAGAAAGAGCTGCGTAATGCGAGCATCTGCGGCCAAACTCTATATCTCTCAAGCCCATGTATCGATCGTCAAGTCTATCTCTTTTGGAACGATCGGCATTCTTTGGATTTGGAAGGCCAAAGGAATATTTTACTATTGTTGGTCCTGCAAATCACACCATGAAGCCCTTTCAGGGCACCTGACCCCTAAGGCAAACCAACGTCGTGGATTCATGTTTGGACGCCTATGGAGAAACCTTCCCAAACTCTACACTCAAACAAGAACCGCAACTGCGAATCGCTAGACCCAATCCCTGATTCCTGCCTCCACTTGCGCCAGCGCTGACTCAGCAGCACGGAGTTCAGCATCACGGCGGCCAAGGATGAAGCGCAGTGCCACCCCCGGACTGAAGGAACGCAGGGTCTAGCACAGCTTGGGGTTTCAGTATCAAGGGGCTTCGGGTTGCCGATGCTACCATCGACAGCCCACAGAAGCGAAAGAGTGCAATCATAAACAGACAAGAAACAACCATGACGACAGTGTCACAGGAGCACTTTTAGTTACTGTCTAACAACTAAAGCCAGCTTGTTGCATAGCGACACACCCAAACTGTAGACATAGGCCGACAACAGAATGCATGAGCCCTACAGACTAGTTTGTACATACCTCTAAACTTGAAATCTCTGAAGCCTGAACTCCCAAAAGCTGAACTCACAATCCTGAAAGACCTGTAAACAAGCAATCCCGAGAACCCAGACCAACGGTGACACAAGTAAGCATAAGGTTTAACGTTGAAGGCTTATCGCGACAGAGGCTTGTCGAGGACAAAGGAGAACGCATTGGCCAACGCAGTCACTTGCGACAAGGTCAAGTGAAAATCAGTCGTTTGGAATGTCTTCAAGGATGAGTCCAAGCTCTGCTTGCAGAGGCTCTTTTCGGGATCCAAAAAAGCACATAAGCAAAAATAACGTAGGGATATCCCCATAAAATGCTTATGCTTATGTGCGTTTTGGGTCCCTAAGCTTTGTTTCGCCGGCAAATGGGGACAGCAACCATGCAGGGGCCCGTCGGCATGTATGCGTGATGGAAGTCGGCTGGGTCGACTGCAAGTGGCAAAAGAGGGACCGAATTTTTGGGATCGGGTTTCACTCGGCTGGCCTCTGGGTAATATAGGGGCCTAAACTTGCATTTTTTTTGGGAGTTCCTCATTATAGCTATAGTATATTATTCAGGCCCCTAAAATACTTCTGGGCCACTCTCTTCATCTGGTCTGCTGCCGAGACTTCATCGGTTGCTCCTTCTGCTTCTTCTCCTTTTTCCATACCCCAGACATAGGATCGTATCTTCATCTGCTCGTACGGGGCTCTAGCCAAACCAAGCCAAAACTCGAAGTAGGAACCTTTTTGCTAATCTCCCCCTCCCCCAAAAGAGGACACACGTATGCTCCTATCAATAGTCCTAAGAAGCACCACTACACTCACCGAGCCCAATAGCCAATATAAAACAGCCCTGAGGGAGATTCATGGAACTCCTGTTGTGCGGGTAAGAAGAGCCTATGAAACCTTATGAAACCTGAAAACACGTCCTGAAAACCATACAAAATCCTAAAACCCTAAACCCTGAAGCCCATAAACCCTAAAGCGCCAATCCCTAAACCCATCCCGAAAAGATCCGCTCACTTCAGGCCTTGGATCTGCGAGCAGCTTCCGCACCTGACGGCCACGCTGCAAAGCCTCCGGGACGGTCCTAAACTAGGGCCCCTGAATAGTAACAATAATGAGAATTAACCTGAATAGTAATAATAATGATAATTAACAATAGTAATAAAAAGTTCACCCTTTCTGATACTATGTGGTTTTGAGGAAAGGAACTCAAAAATAGACGAAGGGCAACAGAGTACTACTCAGGAACCTAGTATAGAGTCTTTGGCTTAGTAAGGGTTTAGGGTTTAGGGGTTCTGTGAGGGTCCCTTTTAACGTCACGATAAAGGTTTCTGTACGGGGATATGGTTCAGGGCTTTGGGGACGTGGCGGATGTAGGTAACAAGCCGAATTAGAGTTTGGTTCTTACACTATTGGACAGTCTTCTCATCCTCTCTCTCTCTCGCACTCTCTCTCTCTCTCTCTGTGCCTCTGTGTTTCACAGTCTCTCTCTCTCTCTCTCTTTATGGTTCATCTTCTTGTTATTACTATTTGCTATCATTGTTACTTCTTGTTGTTGATTTTACTATTATGCTTGTTATGAATATGGGAGTTTCCGAAAATAGGGGACCCTAATATAATACCCCAAATAGTAGGATCCTTATTATAAGGACCCCCAAATAAGGTACCCCTAATTTTCGGAAACTCCCATATAGCTGCTACTCCGATTATGACAGCCTCCAGTTTTGAACTCAAGAGCAGCCGGGCCCCCCGCCTGGATTCGCAGGGCCTGTGTTACATCGGGGCTTTAGGGCCTCGGGGTTGGGGCCTTTAAGGTTGAGGGCCTTTAGGGCTTCTAGGCTTTGGGCTTTAGGGGCTAGGGTTTAGGGGCTTTTGGGCTTTAGGGTTTCTCGCGTTTTGGGGGGGCTTTCGGTTTTGCGGTTTCGGCTCACGACCTTCTGGGGAATGAGGTCAAGAAGTTGCAGTTTCGGCATGGGGGAGTGGGTGTAAGCTTTCTCTTCGAGTCGAAGTGGAGTGGATTAAGGACGGCTTTACGGGTAAAGCTAACCCCTCCCACAGACTGCTAAACATGTCAGCCCAGATGCAATGCGTTCAAGCACGCCCATGTGCAGATAGCTTTCTCAAGGAAGCTGGTCACAATAATGGGAGCAAGTCTGTTCTGCTGCATGTTCATTCACGGACCAGGCTGAACAAGTGTAAACTCGTAATCTGGACCAACGAGAGATCCACAAAAGGTGTGAAGCTCTACCACCTTCTGTTTGCATTCGTGATTCTCGGGTACCTTTTTGTTGAAGGCTTGTCCAACGAATGAATCTCAGCCAGGGACCACCCGAAAGGCTACACAAAACATAGGGGTTTACGCTTCAGGGGCACCATAAGCGGGGTCCCTGCAAACCTCCACTGCGCGACACTTATGTTCATGCGCTTCTGCGCCTGTGAAGGGGTGCAAGGCTTCACGGCTTGGCGCTTCAATGCTTCGTGACTTGAGAGCTACATCTTGGAGGCTTCAAGCAAAAAGGACATCTCGGCAGAGACTGGCAAAAGGACGACAAGCTGAGGCCAAGGTCAAATCTGTGGGTTCCTGATAGTGTGAACGTGTCTTTGACATTTCCTTGGGGAGACTCTCTTTCGCCCTATCGATTTGGCTTGGTCTGTGTACAGTCCTTGAACTGCTCCCTGAGCCCTTAAGCCTGAACCCTTGGGCCCTTTTGAGCCCTTAACCAAAGAAGCCGCGAACGCTTGAACACTCGGCCCCAAGATCTCTCCCCATAGCTGGGCTCACGGCACTTGCAAGTTCTCGGTCGGCCTGTCGTTCGTGGCTTTAAGGTTTCCGGCATTCGGGGGTTTAGGGATCCCTTTGCCAGGTTTTTGGGGTTTAGGTTGCTCTTTGCTATCTTTCATAGAGCGGTTTTGAATCTGACTGTGTTGACTTTTGGCTTAATGTTGTCGTGTTTATGGTCAAGCTGAAGAAGCTTCTTTGCCCTCACAGGTCCGGAAAATCCATAGCTTAGTTAGATCTTCTTAAACTGCTTGCAGAAGGATTAAGTCAGACGATGACCCTACATCTAAAGTCTTGACGTGTGATCCGCACCAGCGTCACAGAATCAGGGTTTGCTTCATCATGCACCCCAAAATCTTGCATCCGACTGTCTCATCCAGCATGCCCACAAGCCCCTTAGCCTAGCAAACCCAAAAGCTGGCGACCAGTGAGCCCCTGAGCCCAAGAAAACTAGAGCCACAAAAAGACACCGCTTGTTTGGTGGAGTCCCTTCAAGAAGCGTACACACATGCACCAAAACAAACCCAGACCACAGGAAAGCCCCACAAACAACTTTTAAAGCCTAGGGCTTGCAAAGGGATCTTCTAAAACAAAGTCCTACAAAAACCCACAACACCGGTCACCTTCAGCCCTCATGGAAACCCTAATACAAGCTTGAGAAACCTATACATCCCCTAACCCCCTAAACCCAAACTCTCTAGACCAACAGTTACTTGGAGGTTATCAGTAAGAAGACTATGACTATAGTTACAACCCATATGGGAGTTTCCGAAAATGGGGGACCCGATTATAGTATCCTAAACCGTAGGATCCCCATTATAAGGACCCCATGAGAAGGTACCCCTAATTTTCGGAAACTCCTCACTTATCACTACACATGAACCTTGGAGGGTCGGGGGGACTTAGATAATAAGTCGATTTACAATCAGGGACCCACTTTTATGGTTATATTCCTACCTTATTGGGCTTCAAAAGAAGGGGGTTTATATGGGATATCCCTAACCGTATCTTTGCTTATGTGCTTTGTTTTGGGCCCTATTATGAGTACCATAAGCCCAGCAAGGATTCCTTTTTGGGTCTATAAGTCTACGTATTACCTACTTACTAAGTCCAACGACCCTCCAAGGTCTATGGGTAGTAATAAGTGAGGCTATACGTCACCGAATATCGGTTTATTGTAACAATAGTTACCCCAACCCCTAAAGACACTAAACCCAAAAATCCCCAAACACTAAACCCTAAGTCAAACAGTCCTAAACCCTAAAAGCCCTGAACCCTAAAACCTCCCAGGACACTGCAAGACCTCCAACTCCCACCCTATTTTCGGAAACCCCCCCAAGTACTTAAAGGATCATGGGACTTAGTAACTAGGGTTATAGTTAGGGTAACTATACTTATAATTACTTATAACCCCAATTAGGGTACTTATAACCCCACTTTCTAAGTCCCATGATCCTCCAAGTAGGAACCCAGGCAGCCTCCTCGGCATTTTCGAAGCTGAGAGCACCGGCTGCGGAGGCGGCGTCACGGAGGCGAAGGGAACCGACTCCTACCTACGCAAATAGCTTATCTTTGGTTAGCAGGGAATGGAGGAATGAGGTATAATTATAACTACTATTACTACCATACTTCCATTCCTACTAACCAAAGGTAAGATAGAAACCCAGACGGTGGGGTTGATGGACTGAGGATGTTTGGGTTGCCATTTGGGAGTTTCCGGAAATAGGGCACCCTAAATATGGTACCCTAAATAGTTATCAGGATCCTTTATCCCAAAATAGGGTACCCCTAATTTTCGGAAACTACCGTTTTTGGTTTGGGTGTTATGCCCAGAGACTCCCAAACCCATGAATTAAGGAATATACTTTAAGTCATAATAGGATCCCCAATATGATATTTAAGGTATATTCCTTAACTCAAGGATTTTGGAGGTTCTGGGGGTTTTGATTCTGGGTTATGGTTTTCGGGATCCTTAACGGGTGGGCTCTATAAGGGATCTCTAGGGGTTCAGGGTTTCGGGTTGAGGGTTTTACGGTTTAGGGTTTTGGGCTTTTGAAGGATGTTCTGTTTCTCTCTTCTCCAATAACTAGGCCCAAACAAAGTTCAAACTTTTTAAGCTAGACCAAATATATGAAGCCAAAAAGTTTAAAGTTCTCCAATAGGCTAAGTTTGGGGTTGGGCTTGGGGCTCGAGGCTCTGCGAGTTAGGGGGCTTTGGAGCTTCGGGTTCCTTGATGAAGTGCTCCTCATATGGGAGTTTCCGAAAGGTAGGGTTACCTCACTATTTTGGGATCCCTATAATAAGCATCCTACTATCTAGGTTACTATTTTGGGGTCCCCTACTTTCGGAAACTCCGAGAAACTGAGGGTTTGCTTGGGCTTTCATGAGCCTTTGACCTGGCCCTGCAAGCGGATAGAGTTCCGTGTCCCTTGATTTTACTTTTGTTGAGGGCCACTACCTACTTGTCGGGTATCATGGGGACTACCCAAAAAAGGTTAAAGGTTACCTCCTCTACTACCAGGACATCTTGTTTCCAACCAGTACTCACCGCAGAGGCAAGGCAAGGGCTTGTTCCGTTTTGCAACAGAAAAGAGGATTTCAGGATTAAAGGGTGCAGTTTTGTTGAAGATGACGTACAGACTTTAAGGGTTTTGGATCTAAGACTCAAGTTTGGAGGTTCGCTTTGTCTGGTTTTGGGGCTTGGGGTTTAGGTTTCGGGTTCGCGGGATTCAGGGTTAGGGTTGCGAGCACGGTCACGGTCTCTTTGTCATAATGTAGCAGCATCGTTGAGCTGAAGCTAAAATCGTCAACACACGAAGCAAAAACAACCATAGCCATTTTGCAGCTGTAGCAAAGGCCGCAGCGTCGACGAGAAGCCGTCGCAGCAGCAACAAGCAGCAGCAACAGCACCAGCAGGAGAAACAGCAAAAGAAACGATGCGACGACGACGGTGGCGATGACGTCTTGACGACCATCACAGCGGCAACATAATACGCCTTCCCATTACCCGGCCTTCACCAAACGTGTGGGGATCTCTGTCAGAAGTTCTAACCTCAATGACTGAATGGATGGAATCCGGAGCTTTCGAGGGATTGAGGGTTGGGGGCCATCCGGGGCTTAGCAGTTTCTGGATTAGGACGGCCCTAACTTAGACCCCTGATTAGCAACCCCACTCCATCAGGCAGGAGTGGGCCCAAAGACCGAGAATCTGTCGATCTCCTCTCCTGTGTGGGACGAAAGGGGCATGATTGCACGAAATTGATGTTGTTGTCAGAGCTCTGGTTGACTTTGTGATTGCTTCGTAGAATGAAGATGCCTCATCGGTCGAGGCCATGTTGGGACGAAGTTGGTGACGCCGTGAAGCAGTGAAGTTGATGAAGACGACGATGATGCTGGAAAGTGCATAGACCGTGGACATGGAGATGAAACTGTTCCGGTGGTCGTTGCTGCTGTTAGGCCATGCGCGTTACCCTTACTGTGAGTTTAAGCTCCTGGTGCAGTCGACGTCATTACTGCTATCGGCTTCCATTCAAAACTGCGGAGCTCCCTACGTGCCACAGCCGTGGAAGTTTGTCGACTGCGCAATGCTGCATGCTTTGGTGTCTAGTATATCTTCGCAGCCCGGGGGTACACCCATTCTTTGGATCTAAGCCCGCCACTATGAGTCATACTTCGTAACCTAGATTGTACAGACCCACCCAACACGCTGAAGCCATCCCACTCTGGGATCCTGGCACCGGCTGGTCGTCCACGCTGACGAGGTGATCCTCAGCTAGGGAATGTCCAACACACACACACACCACAGGGAGCGGCCGTGTGGGACATCGTCGTAGCTATAGTCAATGCTTCTGCTTCTTGCGACGATTGCGGAAGCCCACATAATCAGCCGTTTGTGCTGCATTTTAGTCGGGTTCAAGGGCCTTATCGAACCTCAGCCGAGTCGGGCTCGTTCAACGGGCATGGAAACATGACGGAACAGCTCCTGCTTCAGGTTTCAGTTCCCGATGCTAACATTGGTCCCGGTATCGGCACTTGCGGCAGCAGTAGGAGCAGAAGAAGGAGTAGGAGTAGGAGTAGGAGTAGGAGTAGGAGTAGGAGTAGGAGTAGGAGTAGGAGGAGTAGGAGTAGGAGTAGGAGTAGGAGTAGGAGTAGTAGTAGTAGTAGTGGTAGTAGTAGTAGTAGTAGTAGTAGTAGTAGTAGTAGTAGTAGTAGTAGTAGTAGTAGTAGTAGTAGTAAGAGTAGTAGTAGTAGTAGTAGTAGTAGTAGTAGTAGTAGTAGTAGTAGTAGTAGTAGTAGTAGTAGTAGTAGTAGTAGTAGTAGAAGTACTAGTACCAGTACTCGTACTAGTACTAGGACTGGGAGTAGGAGCAGTAGTAGTGGTAGCAGCAGCCGCAGTAGCAGGAGCAGAAGTAGATGTAGCGGCAAAGTAGTGTTGCAGTAAGAGTAGTAGCAACGGTCATAGCACCGGCAAGTAGTAATAGACATGAAGTAGCAATAGTCAGAAGCCGCCGCAATCGTCGCTGTGGAAGTGGCAGGCAGCTTCCCAGACTACTGGCAGGATCGGAGGAGATGATCCCCTAATTTGGGACCCTGTGCTACGACAGAGTATGGTTTAGGAATCCCTATTAAGGCTATTCTAATATTCCAAAATCAATCAGAACATACTATAATGTACCAGACTGTACTATTACATGCTAGTATATACTAACTTCGTAACATGTACTTTAAGGGATTTACTTGCCAAGCAGCTCCCGGTCTGACTCCGCTCCTTGGTGCGCGGGTCTGTGTAGATGCGGGGCCGTAGCTTTTGAGGGGCTCGAGCTACAATGAAGGTTTACAGGGTTTATATGGGTGGCTGTCAAAATTAGGATCCCTTTTTGGGTCCTGAATATGATACGGCACCGATTATTTAGGGTACCCAAAAAGGGACCATAATTTTGACAACTAACCATATGCTTCAAAGAGAATGGCTTAGGGGTTTAGGCTTGGATCTGCAGTTTTTCGATTGGGTTAAACGCTGCAGAGGGTGCAGACCAAGATAAGTGACGTTCAACGGGAACATGGGAAATTACACTTCACTGCTACGAATGCTTGCAGATAGTAAATATCCGCCAGTCACTGCTGTTGTCTCTTGCCACACGCTTGTGCCCAAAAATTGAGCGTCTTATGGAGCTTGTATGGGCTTTTAAGGTTATTGTGCAGTGCAGAGCATTGGGGTCGCAGGGCTTGGGGGGCTGGCGAGCGTCGAGTAAACGATTTGCAAAGCATCAGGGACACCCAACACGATGCATGAGCGTGTTGGAGTAAATGGCAGTTTTAGAGAAAAGGGGTGTAGTCCTCAATAAACTATTTGAAGGAGTCTGGTGCCCGATGAGAGCTTTCACGAGACCCCTAACCCTAAACCCCAAGCCCTAAACTGTGAGAATTCCTATAAGGACTTTCTCTGGCCTAGGTGGTGACTGGGGGTTGCTTGTAGTAGAAACGCTCGATAAGTGCACTTTCTTGCGGCTAAACCCTAAACCCTACAAGACAGCCTGAAAGTGTATTATCCGTGTTACAGCCTACTTGCGCTGAAGCAATTCACCGAGCCCTGCAATTACAGAACCCAAGCAAGCCCCCAACGCCCAGAGACGTTGATCAAGATTTCAGGTACATTCATCGACTCAAGGCGCATTCTTTACTCAGACTCTTTCTTTTCTCGACTCTCAATCCTACAAGTCTACATTCTAGTCTCTTTACCCATTAAGTCCATAAGCTCTCTGTTCCTTCGTAAGAGTCTTTTGGAATCTGTTCATCCTCAGCCCTCAGCTCACAGGCTGTTAAAGGAGGGATCTGGGAGCTTCTTGGAAGTCTCCGCGTGACATAGAGCTCAGCTAAGCAAGCATTAGGATAGGGATATCCCAAATAAACCCACCCTGGTGAAGCCCAAAATGCCCAGACCCAAGAGTAACCTAGGACTAAAAAGGGTGCCCTTTTTGGTTTAAAGGGGCCTATAAGGGACCTGAACCCAAAACGAGGGAGTAAGGGCCTACCCTAGATCATAGATGCTTATGCTTATACTCTTTTTGGGTCCCTAAGCGTACTTAAAGGGTCATGGGACTTAGTAACTAGGGTTATAATTGAGGTAACTATACTTATAACTACTTATAACCCCAATTAGGGCACTTATAACCCTACTTACTATATCCCATGATCCTCCAAGTAGGGTTTAGGGGCTTAGGGGGTTTGTGGGGTTTGAGGGGTTTATGGGGTTTAGGGTTGAAGGGTTTAGGAATTAGCCCTTTCTTGGGTTTAGGGATTAGCCCTTACTATATCCCATGATCCTCCAAGTAGGGCAGGCGGAGCACTCGTCGGCCCAGCTTCCAAGCTTCACGGCAAGAGCCCGGCAAGGTCCCTTGGCTGCGGTTTAGGGTTTAGGGTTTTTTTTTCTTTGGGGTTTAGGGGTTTAGGGGTTCGGGGGTTAGGAGTTCGGGGGTTTAGTTTTTTTTTTGAGGGCTCTTGGAAAAGGGGTGTAGGGATTAAGTTTCAGGGTTTCGGGCTTAGGGTCGCGGGCTTAAGGTTTGGGTCAGGGCTGGGGTTCGAAGGACAGGGCTGGTGTTGAAGGGTTTGGTGTGGCATGCTTGCTTCGGGTTTAGGGTTTAGGGTTAGGGTTCAGGGCTAGGGTTTACGGTTAGGGTTTAGGGTTAGGGTTTAGGGTTTAGGGTTAGGGTTCAGGGTTAGGGTTTAGGGTTAGGGTTTAGGGTTTAGGGTTTATGGCTAGGGTTTAGGGCTACTTGGAGGTGCATGGGACTTCGCCTGGGGTCACCGGACTCAATTAGTAGATGAAACTCGGCGTTAATGGCAATTGAGCTGCATGGCTATACCCTTACCTATAGCCCCCATCCTCTTAGAATATAAACGAGAAATCTGGTTCGCTGAGAAAGAGCACAGCGCGACCGTAAGGAGAATCAAGGACAGCCTTGTCACAATGTGCTCTGATCCTTTAAGCAGCTTTGGGGGAACTAAGCCGGTGGAAAGGCGAAAAGTGAACGAGCCAATCTGAGGCTGAATAGTTCAATCATTGTGGACTCGGGCGCCACATATTCCATGTCACTCCCGATGGAAAGACCGGTTGCTCAGAGGGAGCCTGTCTGTGTACAGTTTTTAGCAGAAGTGGGACAAACAGATGTCTATACTGAACTTAGAACCCTAGCAAACATTATAATGTTAGCTGTTTGAAAGGAATTATAATAACCAAAAATTAAAAACTATTTCTTCTTACTCCTAAGAAGTCATCGAATGTGGCACACAGCAAGCTCGTGTTCAGCACTGAAAGCATTGCGGCGGAAGACGCCTCGGGCTCTTCGTCAACGGAAACACAGCCGGTTCATGCAGCAGGCGAGGCGGGCAGGTAATAATAATTATAATAATCATAATAATAGTACGTATAATAACAATAATAATAGTAGTAGTAATAATAATAAGAGTAGCAATAATTGTAGTAGTGATGATAGTAGGCAAGGAAACACCAGGGAGCCAGGCATCTCACACAGGCCTAGCCCTCTGTAGCCCTGTATTCACGTGAACATGTTCGGCGGGACTGTTCTTCAGGTTTGTTGAACAGCAAAGTTGAGGGAACTCCGCAGAGGCTCCAAAGAGAGACGGGTTGGTATACATGGGGTAAGCACTGACTTTATATTCAACTGGGAACAGAACAAGCCTGGCTAGGATCCCCCTCAGTCTACTCAAAACTCCGCCGATTAATGTAGGAACCTGATTAAGAAACCTTGGGCCTTTATTAGGGTTGCACATATGAATCTTACTATTGTGGGGTTCTAGGCCCAGGGTTTCTTAACCAGGTTCCTACATTACCTCCTCACTACGTCCCCGTGCTTGAAAGTCCGAAGCCCAGCATGCGGCTGCGGGGCGCCGGGGTCGGTGACGTGCAGGCGGAGGCCCCACTCTGAACCTTAGGGTTTAGACGCTTCTAGGGGTTACTTGAAGGTTTATGGGTACTTATAAGCAAAGTAGAATACTATACTTATAATCCTTATTAGGGCACTTAGAACCCCACTTCTAACTACCCATGAACCTCCAAGTACTGTCCCCCAATGCAAAAACAGTCTATGATAGCGTTGCCATTCAGGGCCTTATACATCTACAATGCATTGGTGGGTCAAGTGTTGTTGAGTGGGGGCAGTATCCAGTGAATACTGTAGGGGCCTTCAAAGTAGGATTTGGGGGTACATTATACTGTAACACTATAACTATAATACGGATCCCCCCAAAACCCTATTCTAATTATGCCTGACCCTACGTTACTTCAAGGTTCGTAAGCGAGGGAAGGGAAAGGCTCAGGATTTGGGGTCCAGGTGGGTGCCGCAAATGAAAACAGTGCCATGCTGATAGCGGGCAATAAACTGCACTACTTTAAGACATGGGGAAATACGTTCCATGACACATATTAAAGAATACACAAGTCTTGTACATGGGAGTTCCCGAAAATAGGGGACCCCAATAGAGTACCCTAAATAGTAGGATCCTAATAATAAGGACCCAAATAAGGTACCCCTAATTTTCGGAAGATCCCACATGGTAGAGCCTGAAAGTACTTGCACCGTCCCATGCGAGCCGACGACTTTTTCCATAGCCCGCATGCTGACTGCGCCCGTTCAAGAGTTCAGAAAAGCCAGCATGCCATGGACCTCACAACGATCGGGACACACAGGTTTTCTGCTCCGATAAGGGTCACTTTGGCTGGGTGGACGGTGCCAAGCCACCACATTGAGCCTCGAACTCAAGCAAAGCCTCAATGAAGTAATCCCGGCCTCTTGCCCAGTACTCCTGTCCAGCGCGAGCCTTGAGGACGTGTTCCATGGCCTCTTCGGTGCTCATCGAGAGCGAGATGAGTGCAGCAACCAAGGCCGCTGTGGAGCGGTTAATGCCAGCATAGCAGTGGAAGAGGATTTGGACCTGCTCCTTTGATTCCGAAGTATTCTGCTGCAAGGCTTCAATGACTCCTGCCCAGATCTTCAGAAACTGCTCCTCGCAGGGGTATGGGAAGCAAAGCCACAAGCAGGGGTACAGATGTACAGATGCCTTACGCACGAAAGGTCGCAGACTCACGAACAAACGCAGTGCCTGCAACAAGTTATGTATGTATGTATGTATATATATATATACGTAGTCTAACACACTTTTAAATCATTAGGCGTGAGATGATATGCTTGAAACTGTCGTAAGCCTAACCCCTAAACCACAATCCAACTTAAGCTCCAAACTCAACATTCTCATTGTTCTAACCACGACAAGGAAACCTAGGGAATATTGTCAGCAAGTGTTCGGCCCCCCTTGTTCTGGAGCTTTGCTTCAGGAGCGAGGCTTCTACTTTGCTGGGCTTTCGCCCATCGGCCCGGGCTGTTGGAGATTGGGACTTAAAGGATCAGGGGACCAAGTAACTAGGGTTATAAACAAGGTAACTATACTTATAACCACTTATAACTCCAATTAAAAGGGTCCTTCTCCTACTTGTGGGGTATCATGGGGAACTAAAGGTTAACCTTTTTGGATACATAGGGATTATATAGGGAACTACAGGTTAAAGGCTCCCTACTCTACTACCAGGTTCTGCTTTTCTATAATCTACGCGACTAAGTCCCCTCACAAGAAATCTATCGGAGTCAATCCTCAATCCTAAACCATCAAGCCGTCATGTCAGTTTCAGGTGCCGCGTACCTGAAACTGAAGTGCCCTATACCCTACTTGGAGGGTCGGGGGACTTAGTAAGTAGGTAGTAAGTAGACTTATAAGTCCCCTAAAAGGGACCCTAATTGGGGTTATGGTACTTATAAGTCCCTAAAACAACCAGTTACTAAGTCCCCCGACCCTCCAAGTAAGCACCAAACTCTAAACCCGAAACAGTCCTTCGAGTCGGGGGACTTACGGTTGATGATATAAATCCTGCATGACCCATTATAAGGAATATACATAATTCCCATAGTCTCGGGTCCTTAAGGTACTGCAGGATTTTTTATCTTCAACCGTAGTAAGCAGTCATTTCATACACAAGTAAGTATCATAACCAAGTCCTTCTTCTGCACCCACTTTGGCGTTCCCGGCTCCACGTTTGTGGTGTCAAAGCCACCGAACCGGAAGTTTGTTACGTTCCTGGAGGTCATTTCATTGGGCTCTCTGGGGTGTTTTAGGGGTTGCGGTACCGAATTTTTGTCCAATGTGGTGTACTTGTAGTTGTGAAGCCTAAGGAATCATGTTACTTATTATTTCCCTTTTGCCCATTCCGGGCCTCTCGCGAAAGAAGGCCAACCAGTCTTCCGGTTCGCCATTCCGTCGCACGTCATCTGCATTCATCGTAAACACAACGTCCAGCTTGTATCTGAGGACTTGGAGGGTCGGGGGACTTAGTAAGTAGTTAATAAGTAGAGTTATATAAGTACCCTAAAAGGGATCCAACTTGGGGTTATGGTACTTAGTTACTAAGTCCCCCGACCCTCCAAGGAGAGAGCTTAGGGTCTACGCGTGCGCGCTTCGGAGGGATCTTCTTTCGCAGCAGGCAAGCTGTAAGCATTAACAACAGACATGAAAACAGCTCGACACCAATCACATTGCACCTGATCAGCCAAGCTCACCCGACGGAACCGAAGAGACCTTCAGACGATTTTCGATGTTTTTTTTGGTCCCTCCCACTGCCTTTCGTCAAACTTGAGCGCTGAAGTAATGCTTCCCAAATAGAAGCGATACTTCTTGTTTGAGAACACCTCGAATCTTACATCTTTTGGCTTTTTCAGGCGTCGAGGGCTTAGGGCTCGGGGAATTGGGTTCAGGTGGGCCGGTCTGGGGCTAATGTAGGGGCTGTAATAATCCGAAGAGGGTTTTGGCGCATATTATACTACAATTATGACAAGGAACCGCCAAAATAGTAAAGGTAATCATTCTAAGGCCTCTATATTGGGCGATTTACGGCTCGTCTGGGGTGGGCAGACCTTTCTCGCCCTTTCTCTCGTTCCGAGTTTCCCACCAACAGCCAGTCCCACAAAACGTTACCATACCCTATGAGGAAAAGCGGAGAGAGTGTCCGAAACCATAGAATCCTAGAAAATGCCTAAACCCAAGAATGATAGAAAAGGTCCTAAGTCCTAAACACTAGAGTGCCCAAGAAAGGGCCCTAATTCCTAAACCCTTCAACCCTAATCCCTAAACCCAAGAAAGGGCTAATTCCTAAACCCTTCAACCCTAAACCCCCTAAACCCCATAAACCCCTCAAGCCCCACAAACCCCCTAAGCCCCTAAACCCTACTTGGAGGATCATGGGATATAGTAAGTAGGGTTATAAGTACCCTAATTGGGGTTATAAGTAATTATAAGTATAGTTACCCTAATTACAACCCTAGCTACTAAGTCCCATGACCCTTTAAGTAGACCCTAAACAATTAGAGCCCTATAGATCCCTTTAAGGAGCCCTATAGATCCCTTTAAGGAACCTATAGATCCCTTTAAGGAACCCTATAGATCCCTTTAAGGAGCCCTATAGATCCCTTTAAGGAACCTATAGATCCCTTTAAGGAACCCTATAGATCCCGTTAAGGAGCCCCTATAGATCCCTTTAAGTAGTTCCTGAAATCTTCAATCAGCCGGACCAGGACACCTCGACCATGTCTAATGGCCATTCCGCGATGGAGTCTTCCTTAGTTCTCCAGTATCCTAGGGGTTTAAGGTTTAGGGGTTATGGGGTTTAGTTTAGGGGTTTACGGGGTTTAGGATTTAAGGGTTTAGGGTTTATGCTAACCTTTGGGATTATGTAGGCCTTAGAGTAGACCCGAAAGGTTAAAGGTTACCTGTCCCATGACCAAGCTTCGTACCGCAGCCCCTTGGAGGCTTTGTGGATACGCCAGTCCTGCTCGTTCCACTCCCGCCTCTGTGCGTCCGCGGTTCTATGGCAAAGCAGCAGGCTACTTGGAGGGTCGGGGGACTTAGTAAGTAGGTAGTAAGTAGAGTTATATAAGTCCCCTAAAAGGGACCCTAATTGGGGTTATGGTACTTATAAGTCCCTAAAACAACCAGTTACTAAGTCCCCCGACCCTCCAAGTAATTCCTGAACCCTGAACCCTACTCCCGACACCTTGTTTATCAAGCTTTGCAGAAGATGCCCCTCATCTGCATGCACAGCTTAGTTTAGGGTTTAGGGTTTAGGGTTCAAAGGTCGTCTTGGAAACAAGGATCACAGAAGCATCTGCAACACAATCCTGTAGGGTTACACAAGTCAGAAAGCGGGATTCCGAAGCAGAGCCCAGCAGAGATCCTTAAGCCCGGACCCCATAGCCCTATTGGGGTTGCTTATATGGGCGGTTGTCAAAATCAGGGTCCCTTTTTGGGTACCCTGAATAATAGGTGCCGTACTATGTGAAGGATCCAAGAAAGGGACCTTAGTTTTGACAACCACCCATATGAATCCTAGTATTTTGGGGCTATAGGCCCAGGGTTTCTTAATCAGGCTCCTACATTAACCCTAAGCTTCGAAGACTTTGACAAGCCCTGAAGAAGTTGTTTTGGATACACGCAAGTATGTTCATACGTAAGGTAAAGTAGTTAGAGAAATACAGTGTCGGAGCCCAAACCGGGGGTCTGTACAAAGTTGTGCGCAACAAGCCGTGAACCTCCGAGTAAGCCCGAAACCCCATAGATTGGACGCCTAAACTCAGCTGGGTCCCAAAACACTCGCTCCGTGCAAACTACATTCCTTGTCGAGCTGAGTCCGGATGCATAGTTTCGTTTCGAAGGCATCGCCCGGCGATGTGCGTCGGTTTGTTTAAGTAGTATCGCCAGAAGAATGCTCGGAACGCAGCAATATAGTAGTAATAGTAGCAATAGTAGTAATAGTAGTAGTCCCAAGAAGCGCGATCTGCACTTCACCAAGAATGATATTTAGGGGATCCTTGCGTCTCCGTGCTTCCG